TTCTAATTTTGCTGTAGAGAGAGTATAAGCAATAATAGGAAGGAACAAGGGTTTTTGCTGGTTGAGATAAGGATAGCTATACAGGGCATTGACTCACATTGATTTCCTGTGCGTGGGTGTTACCTTCCAGGTTAATTCTTTTTGATCTAACCTTGAGAACTGTTTGCCTGGGCTGGATTACAGGCGTGAGCTACCAGCACGAGGCTTAATTGGTATTTTAGTTGAATAATTCATTCCTAAACAATTCTCACTTTATTTGTAATTAGTAGCTAAAACTGCTGTTTCCTGAGGCAGAGTCGTATGCATAGCATTTTTGATGACGTTGCTCACAATCAGTGTGAAAGAATCTTCCAGCAGGCTATTGTGATACAGTTGCACTGCAGTTTTCAGGTTTACTGCTGTGGCCTCCTCTGCTCCTGTTCACAGCTCCACAAGTACATCCTCAGTGCTGCCATTCTCTTCCACCTCCAAGCCAGCTGCTTCTGGACCACTCAGCTACCCTACGCCCCTCTCAGCGTCATCCAGCTCTGTGCCTTTGAAGTCCTCAGTCTCTCCCTCGCCATCAGGTATGTGTGACTTGAAGTCAAAAGCTTTAGACCTCAGTCCTCCCTTCTCAGATTAACAGTTTTCAGATGAGATCAGGCACATTTGGAGTGGTATGACTGTAGACATAAACAGTTTCATATTCTCATTTGGGAGATTTGCAATGGCTTTCGAGCTGCCAGGCTTCTCTGTGACACATCTCATGGAGAGTCAAAGAAAGTGTCTTGCAGTCAGGCATTTGTCTACATATGCAGCCTGCCCTACATGAAGGGTAATTACAGAGCAGCTGTTCAATATGGACAGAGGAGAAAGAGGCCACAGTGACTCTTATGCTTATTCCCTTGGTGACTGTATTTGGATTTTCACCATCAGCCATACTGTAAACAAGTTTTTAAGTTAAAGATCATTAATGGGAATAATTATAAACAAGCCAAATTGAAACATATTCTAAAACTCTATAAGCAGTGTACTTAGCTTATCTTTTTCTTTTCTTACCAATCTTACGAAAAGGTTGTAAGAAATATACAATGAGTTCTATGCCTTTCACCAAGGTTCAGCAAGTGTTAGCGTTTTCTACTGCTTTGCTTTATCTTTTTCTTTTTTATTGCAGACATCATAAAACACTTTATTCTGAAATACTTCATTGTATATCTTCTAAAATCAAGGACACACATAATATACTATGTTAGACTTGAGAAATTTAACAATTAAACCTAGAGTCTATATTTACATTTCTTTAGTGGTCTCAGTAATTTTTTTTTTTTTTTTTTTTTTTTTTGGTGGTACTGAGTATTGAATTGAAGATTGCACACTGCATTCTGTGTCTCCTTAGGCTCATTTAATCTCAAATAGCTCTTCAGGTTTTTTTTGTCTTTCACTACATTGACATTTATGAAGAAGTCAGGCCGTAATTTTGGGAACTACCTCTCAGTTTGGATTTGATTGTCTCCACATGATGAGATTCAGGTTAAGATTTTGGGCAGTTACATCACACAGGTGATCTGTATCTCATTATAGGATTCCATTTTGCTCTAACACAGGTGTACATTTGCCCACATGGGTCAGGTGGCCATGTCCTCAGTTTTTAAGTTGCTTATTTTCATGAATGCCAGTGATGATTCCTAGCCAGACATATTTGGGTAACCACTTGGATTGTGAGTGTCACGGATTCTTTTGGTAAATATTGAGCAGATATTGAGCTGTGAAATTCCTGAAATTTTTGCTCTTTACCTGTTGCTTGGAGGAAAGACTTCTTGTGAAGTTTACCAGCGTCACCTCATTCTATACTAGACTCTGAAAGGCATCTCTCTCTGGCCCAGAATGTTAAAAAGCATTGCCTTGGTCTTGACATCTCTTCATGGTTTAGGAGAGACAGTTTCAACCATGATGTACATATTCTTTATTTCCTTCCATTGCTCACCACTCAGATTTCTCCTCTGACACCATTATTTAATTTTTTAAGATTGAGAGTCTTTGTGACTGAGGCATGGCTCAAGCAGTAGAGCGCCTGCTTTGCAAGCATGAAGACATAAGTTCAAACCACAATTCTGCCCCCCACCCCCAAGCAAAAAAGAAGATTGAGGGTCCTAGATTATTGAATCTCCCTCTCAGTAGCACATTCAACTTACTGGGAATCTACTCCCTAACATGTTGATCAGACTCTGGGAATGAGGCTCTGGTATGTTTTTTTTTTGTTGTTTTTTTTTTTTTTTGCGTGTGTGTGTGTGTGTGTGTGTTTATTTTTTGAAAGCTCCTTAAGTGACTCTGAAACTGGGTCAGACTTGTGCTAGAGACAAAAGGGTCCTGAAAACTGAGTTCTCACGAGAAGATGGGGATTCTTGTAGGCTAGTGGGTTTTACACTTTGACACCTCCCTCACCTCCCAGTTCCTAGAGGTGCATCTGGATTAAGTGCCTCTGTGGGGACTAAGGAGGGACCAAATGGCCAGCCTCCTGGGACCTGCACACAAATGCACATACCTCTCCTCAGAGGCACTCCAGTTACATCTGAGTTATAAAAGTGTTTCACATCTAAAATTTTCACAGGTGTTTTCTTACTATTTTAGAGCAGAGGTGGTCAGCCCAGTAGGCTAGGCTGGTCTAGAACTTATAGAATTACTGTCTCAGCCTCCTGAGTGCTAGGATTGCAGGCATGCACCACCATACCTGGCCCAGTTATTCTTTATAAAGACCAGAGAAGTGGAGTCAGGGAGAATAAGTCACCTATTTTCTGAAACTGGGGAAAGAGTTTGTAATGGGAAAAATAATGAATAAATTTTGTCTGTTATAACTCACTTCTTATACTACCAGGGCGATCTACTCAAGGCAGTCCAAGTCCAGTGCCTTCAACGGTACAGAAATCACCAAGGGTAACTCCTCCAGTGACAAAGTCAGGCTCTCCTCAGGTATGTGCAAATTCACTTAAAATGCTTGTGTTGGTCTGGCGGAGTGGCTCAAGTGGTAGCATGCTTGCCTAGCAAGCAAGGCCCTGAGTTCAGCCCCCAGTACGACACACACACACATAAAATTTGTGTTTAATAATTTGCTATCTCAAGAATACATGTTAAGGAAGTGGTTTTCATGTGTTAGAATTTACACCTTGGAATTAGCAATTATGACTGTGTGATAGGAAATACCAGAGTATGTGACTTAAGTATTTGTCCTGGGTACTTATAGAAGCCATTTTTTTTTCATGTGCAAAATACATTTGTTCCATCCCAGTAGCTCCAAATCTTAACTTGGTCCAGCAACTCAAAAGTCCAAAAGTCCAGAGCCTCATTTAAATCATATGGTTGAGACTCAAGGCATGATTTATTCTGAAGCAGCGTTCCCTCCATCTGTAAGCCTATGAAATTAAATAGGTTATCTCTTTCCAAATACAATTATAGCAGGCATATGATAGACATTTCTATTCCAAAGGGAGAAATAGGCAAGAAGAAAAGGGTAACTGGTCCCTAGTCAGCCCAAAGCCAAGAGATATGGCAACATCAAATTCTAAGGCTCCAGAATTATCTTCCTTGACTCCGTGTCCCACTCTCTGTGCAGTCTAGGGTGAAGTTGGGCCCCTGAGAACTCAGGTAACTCTGTTCCTACATATTCGCTAAGCCTAGGCAGCAGCTCTCCCAATTTGGAATCTCATGCCTGCAGCTGTTCCATGCTGGCATTGCAGGCTGGTATCTCTTGGTTTCTGCAACAGCACTTTTCTCCACAGTCCCACTGTGCATTGCTTAAGTTAGGGCTACCTGCTGTGGGTCTGCTCTTTTGACAAATTTCTGCCTGAAACCCAGCAGATCTTTGAAATTTAGGTAGAGATAACCATGCCTCCATAGCTTACAAATCCTATGCACCTACAGAATTAGCACCATGTGGCTGCCACCAGGGCCTCTGACTTTTGCTCTCTGCTGCAGAGGCATGAGCTGCACCGAGGCTTACTTGAGCTGTGACTGGAGTGGCTAAGAAGCACTGTGGTGGAATGTAGGGAGACGATATTTGTGGTAACATGGGTCTGCACATGCTGAGCTCTTCCATATGCCTCTCTGGAAACCTTGCTCTCAAGGTCCTAGCTTGCCTCAAAAGTCCCTGAAATACCTTTGGAGTCAGGGTCCCATTTTCCTGATGAATAGCATCCAGCTCCCTTCCATTTATACTAATCTCTTCAACGAAGGATTACTTGGTTTGCTCTCCAAAACATGACTTCTCATTCTGTACATGACCAGGCTGTGAATTTTCTAAGTCTTTCTATCCCGCTTCCTCTTTAATTATAAATTGCTTTTTAAAGTCATTTTTCTCCTCGAACATTTTATTATATGTGATTAAAAGAAGCCATACAACATCTTCAATATTTTGTTTAGAAATTTTTTTTTCTGTCCGATATCCTAGTTAATAGCTCTTAAATTCTGCTTTCTGTAAAGCCCTTGGGCCTGGGCACATCTCAGCCAAGTTCTTTGCCACTTTATAGCAAAGATGACCTTCTCTCCAGTTTTCTAGTATCGTTTCCCTTTTCCCATCTGAAACTTTTTCAGGATTGTCTTTATCATCCATATGTATTTCTAACATACTCTGATCACAACCACTTAAGTAATCTCTAAGAAGTTTCAGAATTTCCTTATAGCTTTCCTGTTTCTCTGAACCCTCACCAGAATTGCCCATACTGTTCTGTTTTTGACAGTCTAGGCTTTTTATAGCCCTCTCCTCTAAATTCATCCTCCGCTACCCATTGCCCAGTTTCAAAGCTATATTAACGTTTTCATGTATTTGTTACAAAAAAAGCTCTTCTCGGTATCAATTATTTTAGTCCACTTTGTACTATTATACAGAATACCCAAGACTGGGAAATTTATAAGGAACAGAAATTTATTTCTTACAGTTGTGGAGGCTGGAAAGCCCAAGACCAGCGGGCCAGCATCTGGCAAGGGCTTTCTCACTGCATCATCCTGTGTCAGAAGGCAGAAGGGCAAGAGGAGAGAAGGAGCTCATAGAAGCCATTTCTCTGTGTACTTTCAATTTTTTAATTGGTATATAACTTACACAGAAAAAAGAGCATGTGTACATCTCAATGAATTATCACCAACTGAACACAGCTCAGTAGCTAACACCCAGATTGACAAACAGAATGGCCACCACCCCAAAATTCCTCCTCCTCTGTCCCCTTCTCATTCCTGACTTTGCCAGAGGGTACCAACTAACTTGATAATCTGTGCCTGTTTGTGCCTTCTGTCTAATGGCATTGTGCAGTATATATTCTTAAATCTGGCTGTTTTGTTCAATGTGTTGTTTGTGAGAGTTATGTATATCATGTTGTTATATGGAATTACTCATTGTGTGACCACAAACAGGTATTCATTCTATTCTTGCTAAGTTGAATTCCATTCTTGAGTAGTTAAGCTCTTGGGGATAGTGTTGCCATGAATATTGCAAGTGACATCTTCGGTGGACATGTGTACACATTTCTGTTGGGCTCAGACCTAGACATGGAAATGCTGGGTCATGTACTGTCATATATTCCTCTTTAGCAGATTCCCACTCATTCAGTGGCCTTGCCAATCTTGGTATTATTCATCTTTAGCTGTTGTATTTTGTGATTTTTAATTCATATCTCCCTAGTGACCAACAAAATTGAGCTTTATTTCATGTGATCATTGGTCATTTGGATATTTTCTTTTATGTAGTCTCTCTTAATGTCTTTAGCCTGTTTTTCTATTGATGGTCTTTTTCTTACTTTTTTTTTTTTTTTTTTTCTTTTTTTGGTGCTAGAATTGAATCTAGGGCTTTGTCCATGCTAAGCACACACTCTACCACTGAGCTACACCCCCCGGCCCCTTAGTGATTTTTAAGTGAGTTCTTTGGAGACACACACTACAAATACAATGTGTACTTTCTGAATCACTTATTCATTCTTCTCAGAGTTTTCTTTTGATGAATACCGTTCTTAATTTTAATACAGCTAAATGTTTCCTTCCTTCCTTCTTTTCTCTCCTCCCTTTCCTTCCCTTTTCCCTCTCTACCACTGACTGAGCTATACCCTAGTCTATTTTTTTCTTTTGTAATTCGTGCTTTTCATGTCTTCTTTTAGAAACCATTTCCTGTTCTAAGGCTAGAAAGATATTTTCTTGGTTTTTTTAAAGTTTTATTATTTTACTTGTCATATTTAGCTCTATAGTCATTGTTCAGTTTATTTTTATGACTTTAATGCCCAGCAGTTCCCTACCTAATTATTTGAGTATCCCCTGCCCTGAACAGGAGTCATACCTTTTCCTTCTGTTGGTTCCCCTCACTGACCCATTTCCTGCCTCCCACACACATCTGTAGTCAGTGCATGTAGAAGCCCAGTTCACAGTTCTAGCTTGTGGCATAATGCCAGACACATGGTATTTGTTAAGTAAATGTTTTCTGTATGGCATCTCAGTTTTTAACATCTCTCACCCTGAACTCTTGTTCTCCATCTGCCTGAGAAACTCTCCTTTCTCTTGTGTTCCCACTTCTGTAAGTAGCACTAAAAGAGAAGGGGTTTGTACAAGCCCCGGACCCAGAAACTTTTTTTAAGGGGCACTAGGATTTGAACTCAGGGTCTCAGTCTTACTAGGCATGCACTCTTCCATTTGAGCCACTCTACCAGCCCAGAAACATTCTGATTCCTTTCTTTACTTTATTAGCATATCTCTCCAATCCAGAGTAGGATGAGACCTTGTCAGCTATATGCTCTGCTATGTCCTATGTCATGGCCACACAGCTCGTTCCTCCCAGCGTTCTTTGTCAGGCTATTGCTATCTCTTACCTAGTTACTCCTGGCTGCTTTTCTTGTTTTGGCTGCTAGCTCTCGATGCCCTCCTCCTCTTTAGCAGCAAAAGGTATCTTTTAAATCATGAATCAAATAGTCATTCAAACTTCTAAAACACCAATGATAACGTTCCAACACGCATAGAATAGAATCTGAACTCCTTGGTTTGGACTTGCACAGTTTGCCTGACTTCATGAAACCACATTTACTTTCTCTCTTCTCTGAACATGCCAGGGTCTCTCCTGCCTTTGGGGCTTTGTGCTTGCTCTGGATCTCATCACTCTGTCTCAGTTCAGATGGCAGCTTTAATGAAGGGCTATCCTGGCCACCTCCAGTGTCCCTTTCACGCTCTTTGTTTTCATGTTTACTCACCAGTTGAAGTTAACTGATATGTGGACTTCTTATTATCCATCTTGTCCCAACAGAAGGTAAGATCTCTGACAATAGGGACATCATCTGTTTTGCTCACCTGTCTCCACTGTGTTGAATATGCCCTATACAGAGTAGAGACAATTAAATCCAGTTCAAAAGGCGAATGATAGGACAAAGATGCCACTCCCTTTGATAGGCACTGATGTAATTGCTTCTAGAAGCTGTAACTTATGGTATAGGATCAGTTTTTAAGCCTTTTGCCTTTCATTTCAGTCGAAATCACTTCAGCCTCCTATCACAGAAAAACAGGGACATCAGTGGAAAGATTCAGATCCTGTGATAGCTGGAATCGGGGAGGAGGTAAATTTATTTCCTAAGGAGTGGAGTGCAGCCACCTCCATGACCGTTTGTTCTAACATTGGGGCCTAGTCTGTCTCAAGAGCCTGTGCTATGCATAAGCACAGCAGCAGTGCCATTACTGCTGCCACTCAGGTGGAGTTGTTTCTTCATTTGTGGCCTTACAGATCACTCACTTCCAGAAGGAGCTGGAGGAGTTGAAGGCCCGAACTTCCAAAGCCTGTTTCCAGGTGGGCACTTCAGAGGAGATGAAGATGCTGCGGACTGAGTCAGACGATTTGCACACCTTCCTTCTGGAGATTAAAGAGACCACAGAGGTATGTGCTTATGGATATTTTTCCTGAGTGGAATCATACTTTTAGAAACTGTCCTCCTAGTACTGAATGGTATGCATATCTTCACCCTGCAAGGGCCATAGGTGCTGATGTTTGTATGCTGATAGTTTACCTGGGGTGCCTGAATTTTGTCCTACCTTCAAGATTTAATAAACCACATGGCTTAGGGCAGGTTAACCTTGCTACCCTATATTTCAGTTTTCTCATCTGTAAAATGGAGTAATAGTTTCTATCTCTTTGACACATACTAGGCACTCCATAAAAATTTACAATAATTTAATTTAGGCTTATTTGAAAATTTGCTGTCTTTTATAGTGTCCAGTTAAAAAACAGAACAGAGCATATTGTACAAAAGCATCAAACATTTATTATTAGTAGTATTGTTTACCATTACTATTATTACTGCTTTACCTGAATTCTCTCTCTCAATCCCTACAACTTTCCTAGGTAGGACACACTCTGACCCTCTCCCTTTTCCAAGTCAGGAAAGTGAGGTTTAGAAAGGTGAAGTGATTTCTTCAAGTCCCCAATTAGTGAGTACTAGTGCCAGGATATCATTTTGAACTGTCCTTCTCCAAAGTTCTGGTCTTAAATAGCATGTTTGGAGAAAGTTCTCCAAGGTGCTGGCAGTGATTGTCTTCAGGTGGTAAGATTATGGGTACAATCAGTACTTTCCTTTCCAGTCATCAGAAAATGTACTTTTGTAATCAGAAAAAAAAGCAATTTAAAAAATTCATCAGTATCTTTCTTTCTAAGTAATGACTTTTTAAAGAAAAAACATGATAAATATATTCAAATGTTCATCATGTAAATATTTGAGAAACTCCATCTTCATTGATCCACACAGAGGTTCTATTTTTTTTTGGAAGCACAGCTTTTTTATCAGTACATCCTCGTGCCTTTTCTAGTCTCTCCATGGAGACATAAGTACCCTGAAAACAACTTTGCTGGAGGGGTTTGCTGGTGTTGAAGAAGCCAGAGAACAGAATGGAAGAAATCATGATTCTGGGTATCTCCATCTACTTTACAAAAGACCACTGGATCCCAAGAGTGAGGCTCAGCTCCAGGTAGGAGAAGCCATTTAAGTCTTTTGAGAGACTTTAAAAGTCAATTAATTCAATCATTGCTGTCTTTTTTTTTATTAAGCTTTTTTCTTTTGGAAGTACTATGGATTGAACTTAGGGCCTTCTGCTTGCTAGGCAACCACTCTAGCACTTGAGCTACGCCCTCCACCCTTTTCTGTCTTTCTTAAGCTATGGATTTGGATGACAGCCCCTTATGAAGCTATTGTTTTTCTGCTAATAATTTATCACATTTTTCATAAAATTCCTTATCTGTGGCAAAGAAAATGGCATATTTTTTAACTTAATTTGTTTTTATTTTTAAAAGTAGAATTCTTTATTAAACTTTCAGCTTGATAGAGAATACTCTGTTAAAACAGATGTTTATAAATCAAATTACAAATTATAAAGTAGCAACATTTTCCTGAGTGATAAGGTAGTCTGCTAAGTATTTTATACACTATTTCTAGTCTTTAAAACCAGCATCTCTTCATGGTAAGAGTTACTGATTCCATTGCACAGATAAAGAAATTGAACTTTGTAGGGTGAGACGGTCATGTTTCCTGAGGTCCTCCATCTACTAGGGCTCTTTCTGCAGAGTTACTTTTTCTCTTAATTCCTAGTTATTCTTCATTTCTGCTTTAGGTAATTAATTTTTGCTTTCTGTTCTTCAGTTTACCCAAATAACTTTAGTGTAAGGGTAGTCATCCCCCCCTCCCATTTGTCTATAGTTCTGGAGGAGGATGTGTAGGCAGCCCTGGTCTTCCTCACCTCAGCCACAGTCTGTGAGTGAGTTTGATGAGTCCCTCCTGCTTCAGAGAACTTCAGGCCACACACTACTCCCACTATTTCTGTCCTACACCTGGTAGTCTTCCTGATAATAGGAGGATGAAAAAAATCCGTTCTTCTAGAAGGGTCAAGAGATCCTGTTGTGCTCTGCAGCCCACTGTTACTCTTGATGTGTTCTCCTTCCCTATGGCTGTTTCCTCCCTTGGCGAAAGAGCAGACTGCCCACCTACTGCTCACCAAATTTAGAGCCCTGCTGCATGTATCTCTCATGCTTTCCCATAGACCGTTGTCACCTCTGGCTCTTTTGCCACGTTAAGAGGAAAGCATACAGCTTTTAGGGGGCACTTAACCCTTTCATAAAGGAGCACCTTTCATGGTGCTTCAATAGATAATAGCAGACAGCATATATTGTACTTACTAAGATGCTGAAACTGCCCAGATTTCATCACCAACAAATCCTGGGCCCTTGAACCTGGGCCATCTGACGCCAGAGCCTATGTTCTTAGCTCCTCCATTACACTGCACCTGGCTAAGTGATAAATGACAGCCAGAAAGATGAACATAAAGACATAATGTGGTGCATGTTGCTGTGAGATCACAAAAGAGAGCCGCTAAGCCACTACAAGGAAGTATTTGTGATAGGCCTTAAAAGAAGAGTTGGTTTTAATTTAGCTGGTCCACACAGTTGAGGGTGTTTGGAAAAAATATCGTCAGCTAGTGTAGAACCAGCATCGCATCTCAGGTGGTCAAAGAAAAGAGCCTCCTGTAGTCAAAGAGTGTGAGTTCAAGTTTTTATCTGCAATTACGTTTATGTGAATCAGCGTGGCTTTTTTCTAAATGACATTTTTTGGTTTTCATTTTGAATATGTACACTTTTCCAAGAATAATTTGGGAGATACATTACAGCATAACCAGGTGTTTGACTAGATGTAAAGAGCTTTTCCCGGAGTATGGCACTGTTTGTATACATTTGTATGGCATTGTCTCTGTTTGTATACAATACCTAATTGAATGCTTCATCTTTATTTTTAATTTTTGAGAGTCAAGCTGCCTAGTCATGAAAGTTAACAGTGGCCCCAAATTTAGAGAAAAATACTGTAGGTTGAAAGTAAGTTAAATAGGTAAGAATTTTGATAATGGTAAATTGTTTCTAGAGTTGGTACTATTTTTTGAGAAGTGAGTATTTCTCAACTCATGAGATGACCTGTATGTTCTATGCTTTGAGTAGATCAGTTCAGAATTATTTTCAGCCCTGCTTGTAGGATAATTCTGTCCACATATAGTTAGTGTCATGGGTGGGAGAGCAGAACTAAATGACTGCACTGTCTGAGTGCCAGAGTGCTCAGAGTAGAGATCCTTTCCAGGATCTGAGAAATGAGGAGGGAGCTTGAGCATTTGTTCCCTCGGGGCCCTGGGCAGATACACCCATTCTCTTTCCCTTTTCTTCGTACCATCTCTCTGTGGGTTTTCTGTTTTCATTTTAATTATAGGGCTTTAATAGTTATATTAAAACCTATTAGGCTTTCTTTGTTCGTTACAGTTCTCAATATAGACACAATTCAACATTATTTAGATTATTTTGATACATATTCTCCCAAGCTACTAGACAAATGAGTTATTTGCCCTTTAACTTTTTCCTTGTAGGAAATTCGGCGCCTTCATCAGTACGTGAAATTTGCTGTCCAAGATGTGAATGATGTCTTAGACTTGGAGTGGGACCGACATCTGGAACAAAAGAAAAAACAAAAGTGAGTGTGGTTTTCATTCCCCAAGGGGAAGTAGATGATACTAGTGCCTTATAAAAACATGATGCAGTAGCATATAGAAACACCCAGCAAGCATCTGTACTTTTTGACATTCATTTCATCTCTAAAAATGTGGCTTACGAAAGTCAGGACAGTGACAGTGTTTACCTAAAAGAGTTGATAGGTAGCACAAATTTGTGATAGTGAAAACTTGGATTCAACCTAATTATCCAAAAGTGAGGAGATGCACCAAGAAATGTCATCACATTTTGTTTTTTCTACTATAGAATTCTGTGTAGCATTATTAACATGTTCTTGGAGAAGTCTCAGTAAATGTTTTTGTGTTATAAAATATAGTTACAGTAGTTATTAGACATAGCATATAAAATGAGATAACAAAGTGTTTCAGGTGAACCCAGTGTGGCAGTACAAATCTACAGGAGACCAGAAGTAGCTAAGAGGAGCATTTACTTTTCTGAACATGCCAAGTTGCCTTTTTTGTTTTTTTGGCAGTACTAGGGTTTGAACTCAGATTCTTGTGCTTAGTAGGCTGAGCCACACCCCCATCCCTTTTAGCTTTAGTTATTTTTCAGATTGGGTTTTACACTGTTTGCCTGGACAAGCCTCAGATTTTGATCCTATTACCTAATGTCTCCTGTGTAGCTGGGATTACAGAACTGTATCACCATAGCCATCTGAATTGTTGAAATTGGGTCTTGCTAACTTTTTGCCTGGGTTGACCTTGAACTGAGATCCTCCTGATCTTTGCTTCCAAATAGCTGAGATTACAGATGTGTACCACTGTACCTGGCCCCCAAGTTGTCTTTTTGAGAAAACAGTTCTAATTAGTGTGGATGACTAAAAGGACAAGAGGAATGATGGCACAAAATGGGAAAAGCTTTTTAGCCTAGTCTGATTTTATGCATATATTTTCCAGAAGGAATAGAGTGCAGTAAACTTAAGAGCAGGAAAGTGCCCATGAGAAATTTAAAACTGAGTATGGTGGTACACACCTGTAATCCCAGCATTTGGGAGATAGAGGTAGGATTGTGCTTTTTATACCTGCCTGGGCTTTATAACAAGATCCTTTCTCAAAAAATAAATAAATAAACAAATTAAGAAAATACATTAGTCCTTAAAATGTTAAGATTTCTACAGTACCTGTTACTTCGATTAGCTCTATATGGAAACACCTAAAACTAGTCTGTTTGCTTACTTACTTATGGGATCTTTTAGGTTTTCCATAGCACAAATGTGGCAGGGCCAGGACTAGAATGTGTTTATAGTTTAACCATAATTGAATACATGTGGAAAATGCCAGCAGTGTGAGAGAGATGGGGAGAGAAGCTCTTCCCTACGCTGTCCACTCTGGCTGTAGGCTGCATCCCTGTCCACATGGGTATCTGGCTCACTCCTTTTTCTGGTTCCTGTTGCGTGGTATGTGTTACTTTCCCACAGAAAAGTGAATTGTGACCTGGTGATGTGGATAGTCTACTCTGCTTGAGCTGTGCTTCTCTTTGCTCATTTATAAGTGGTCTTTTTAAAACCTGCATGAAGCTAAGAGAACCTATGCTTGCTTTTCCTTTATTATAGCCCTGTGGATTTCCTGCTTACCATGTTTCTGAGTTATCTGCAGAGCTCTGATTCTTAAATCTGTGTAGTTTTTTGTTTTGTTAGCACTTCTCTGATTTGTGCCCTTCTGTCAATATTACCGTGTACTTACTACAAAGCCTTTTTAAATATTTGTGTTGCCTTGTCATCACAGGCAGTTGTACAATTGCTATGGCCTCCTCCAGGAGGTGATGAGAGAAGATGGGATAAAACCGGAAGGTTTTATGCAGCATGAACATTTTTTACTTCAGGGTTAGTGATAAGAAGCAAAATATATATGTCGACACACAATAGTGTGTAACTAATGTAGGAGTACTTGTTTTTTTTTTCCATTTGTATAATTTGTCCTCATGAATAGAAAAAATTTTAGAGATGCTCAAGGATTTGTAATGAAAAGCAGAAGCAGCAGCCCCTGTCACCTCTGCCTCTTTCAGTACTTTGGGACAGATGACCTCTCTGACACCAGCTCCTGTGCTCTGTCCCTGCTTCTTGACAGCAGTCTAAGAAATAACTGGTTCCCACACACTTTCAGGGAACATTTTATTTTTTTTTATTGGTTGTAACTTAGGTACAGAAATACACACGTCTCAAGTGCACAACTGAATGAATTTGCCCTCTTCATCACTTCTGTCTCACTCCCATGCTTTTATTTCCCAGATCCTCCCTGGAGTTTTGCCTAGTTTCTGCTGTCCTTTGCTACAGGCCCAGCCTGCGTAGTGTAAGCTGTTTTTCCTCACTTCATCTTATCCTTTTATCTCCCTTCAGCTTTCAAGTATTTTCTTGACATTTGTTGCCTACTTGTTCTCTATTTTATTGTTTCCACTGTTACAATTGTAGCCTTATTTTTAGGAGTTTAGAGGGGTTCCTTTTTAAATCATTCGTGCTTAATTCTGCCAATAGGCGCCTGCTTGTGCCAGAGCGGGAGACACTGTTCAACACACTGGCCAACAACCGAGAAATCATCAACCAACAGAGAAAGAGATTGAATCATCTGGTGGATAGTCTTCGGCAGCTCCGTCTTTATAACCAAACATCACCGTGGAACCTGCCCTCCGCTCTTCCCACTCAGAACAGCACCAACAGGTATGCAAGAACTTGCTATCAGTCAGTATGGTTGGGTGAATGCATGAAGAAATATTTGGGCAGGAACAAGTGGTGGCCTTTGAGTAGTTCAGGTGTGGGTTTGAAAGTGACTCTTGACTGTAGGTGTGTGATTCTGGTCAGGTTCCTCATGCTTGCTTTCTGATCCTTTGTTCCTTTGCCTGAAAAATGGAGATGGCATACCTGCCTTTTGAGATTGTTGGAGAGTTAGGTCTGTAATCCACTGAGCATCATGCTTGGTGAAATAGGTGCTCAGTAGGCCACCACCATTGCTGTAGCAATAGTATGGAAAGTCAGTTAATAGGGTCAAGCTTACTGACTTGTCTCAGAAACCCAGATTTGCCATTTGGCTTGAATGTGGAGATTTTCACTTCCTTGTAGTTAGACATTTTTCTCTGAGACCACCAATGTGGTTTTGTGTTTCTGCTTTCAGGCCATGTCTAGATTTCCTTTTTTTTTTTTTTTTTTTTTTTTTTTTTTTTTTTGGTGGGGCTGGGGTTTGAAGTCAGGGATTCGCACTTGCAAAGCAGGTGCTCTACCACTTGAGCCATACCTCCAGTCCACTTTACTCTGGTTGTTTTGGAGATGAGGATCTTTCACATTGTTTTCCAAGACTGGCCTTGAACCATGATCCTCCTGATCTCAGCCTCCCACTTAGCTAGGATTGCAGTTCCAATTAGCTGGGATCACATCTAGATTTTTTATTGACCCTTCTGCCAAGGTGCCATAGTGATGTTTGGTTTGGTGTGGGATATGGTATTGAGATTGCTGTCTTCATTTTACATTGATTGATTGGATGGCATGTTTATATTGATTGTGCTCATAACTCCTACACTTATATTTAGGTGGATAGTGTATCTCAGGTTTCTCAGCCAGCCCAAAGCTGATTTGTTTATAACACTGTCTTGTTTCAGTTTTGACAGTGATCTGGAAAGCCTTCGCAATGCTTTGTTGAAAACTACCATAGACTCTCACACCAAGCCCTGGCCCAAAATACCAGGTAAATGCATCCTTTCCAGTCTTATAGCTCTGTTTGTTCTCTTCCAGCCACTGGCATCTTAAAAGCTGAGTCTTAAGCATTTATGAGTTGATGACTTTCTTGCAGCTAAACTGTCCCCCGTGAAACAGGCCCAACTGAGAAACTTCTTGGCCAAGAGGAAGACCCCACCAGTCAGATCCACTGCTCCAGGTAAAGGGAACCAGTCCTGAGATTTTCAGCATAAACCAGGTAGCACATGGTGTTGGGGTGCACTGGTGGGTGTTTTATTTTGGGTTTTGATAGGAGATCAAGAAAATGCCCCCAGAATGTGTTGTCAATCTGAATATTGGAATGAGAAGCAGCTTATATATTCTGCATGAAACAATTCAAGGTAGTTGTTTCACCTTGCCACAGTACTTTCTGTAGGCCACATGGCAGAGATTCACAGGATTTGGGGTAGGCTGAGCCTGATCCTAGTCTTGTTCTTTTCTGATTTGTACGTGGTTTTGAGTCACGTTGCATGAGAAGAAAGGCTTAAGAAGGAAAAGCCAGTAGATTATGTAGTGATTAAAAATATTGCGGAACTTGTCTAGATAATTACCAAAATATTCTTTTATTCATTTATTTTGTTGGTACTTGGGTTTGAACTGCTTGTGAGGCAGATGCTCTGGTTATTTTGGAAATAGGGTCTTGCTTTATGCCCTGACTGCCCTGGGTCATGATCCTCATATTTTAAGCTTTCTGCTGTCACAGGGATGACAGGTGCATGCCAGCTTGCCCAGCTTCTTTTTTCCCTTGAGATGGTGTCTCACAAGTGTTTGATTTTTTTGGGTTTTTTTGTTTTTTGCCTGAAATAGCCTGGAACCGTGATCCTCCTGATCTCAGCCTCTCATGTAGCTTGGATGACAGGTGTGCACACTGCACCCAGTCATTAGCTGAGATGGGGTCTTGCAAACTGTTTGCCAGAGCTGGCCTTGAACCTTGATCCTCCCAATATCAGCCTCCCAAGTAGCTAGGATTGTAGCCATGAATCACCAGCACCCAGAGCATAGTTTTCTTTAGAAAAAAATATTGTTACCTTATTTTGTTTTAGTGTCCATATCTTTGTTTTTCTTTGAAATTCTGATTTCAGTTTAAAAATAAGTTTTTTATACCAGCAACGTATGCCTTTGGTAAAAGTCTATTAAAATAGCTGAAAGTGATTTAATTTAATCTGTATCATGATTTGTTTCTTTCTGTAGCCATATAGGGCTAAATTAGATAAATAATAGCTGCAGACAAATGGAATTTTTCCATAACATTTTTTCCCCCAGTCTAAAGAACTCATTCTCAGCCAGGTTTGGTGGCGGTACACACCTGTAATCCCAATCCTTGGGAGGCTGTGGCTGGAGGATCTTCAGTTTGAGGCCAATCTGGGCCACATGGCAAGGCTCTGTTTCAAAAAACAAAAAGAATATATTTTCTTCATAGATAATGGGGAAAATAAAGAAACATCTAAAGAGGAATAAAAATTATTCTTGGTTTTGACTCAAATGGCCTCATTTATATTATTTTGTTTTACTTCCCAGCATTTTTCCTTTGCATATGTAAATCTAATTTTTAAAAAAATGACTTGGATTATAACATCTACAGTTTTGTGTCTTGGAGTTTGTTTTTTTAATTAAAAATTCATGAGCCCTTATGAAAAAAAAGGCAGTAAGCATTAGCAAGGATATGGAGAAAATGAACCCCCTTTTGCACTATTTGTGGGAGTGTGAAATGCCACCTCAGTGGAAAACAGTTTCTTAAAATATTAAAAGTAGAATTACTGTGTAATTCAGCAATTCAAATTGTAGGCATATACCCCAAACAATTGAAAATAGGGTCTCAAAGAAGTATTTATAGACCCATGCTTGTACCAGCATTATTCACTGTAACCAAGGTGTGGAAACAATGTGTTCATAAATGAATGGATAAACAAAATGTCCATACAATGGAATATTATTTGGCCTGAGAAAGGGAAGAAATTCTGACTAAAGCTATAGTGTAACTGAACCTTGAGAACAGATGTTAAGTCAAGCTAGTCACAAACAGACAAATATGATTGCATTCCATTTATGTGAGGTATCTAGACAAGTCAAATTCATAGACACAGAAAGGAGATGGTGGTTGCCTTTTGGGGGAAGGGAGGTGGAGAATGAAGGGATAGGTGAAGTATCTGCCGTTAGAATTTTGCAAGATAAAGATGGTTTTGGAGATAGATGTGGTAATGGTTGCACAATGGTGTGAATGCACTTGCTATCACTGGGCCGTGCAGTTAAAGTGGCTGATATGGCACATTTATGTATGTTTTGCTACAGTAAAAAGATTGAAATGAATTTTAAAAATTAGGACTTTCCTTTCATAATTAAAATATCCTAATTGGAGTAATCATTATTAATTTCTAAACTGTTGAATAAGACACATTTTACATAAAATAAGGGGCTTAGGGAGTGTAAGAAGTGTAAGCTATTATAAAGTGTGGTTTGTAGAAAAGTTCATGGTCAAGGGTCCTGTTTGAGAACATTCTACGGCAGCACTTCCATCATTGCTTGTGTATTGTCCTACAGTTGGAAAGGGTGCTGGATAGACTTAACATTCATCAAAAGATTTCTTGTGTTTGCTTCATACTTCTTGAATGATGTCTCAAATCCATATTTTCCTTGACAGTAGAATTCAAGAAATACAAATCTGTGAAAGGGTCCCTTCTTCTTGGTTTTGAAACAGTTTGATTGTCTGCCTCCACTTGGGCAGAGGCACTCCTGCGCTCTTTTGGTTTTTTGCTGGGTGACTTAGCTGTGGTGATAAGTTATCTTGGTCCCTCTCCCATCCACAGACATTTTGTTGATCATTTTCAGGTATGTGCATATTTAAATCATAATAAGAGCTACAGTTCTAGGAAAGATGTCAGTAGATGTGCTTCACCTAAATAAAAATCAAACCCCACTGTCTTGAGGAATAGTGTGCATTTTCTCTTCTGTATGGAGTGATTCCCTTGCGTTAGGAAGGTTGGTCCAACTTCTGAAGAGGAACTTGTGGTAAACATCCTTCACAGGTAAACCCCTGGTGTTGCCATCAGTACTGGAGTCCATTCTTGGAAGACACTATTTACTGGCTCTGAGCAGTTTCTCCTGTTCATTTTAGAGTAAGCATATAGTTGACGTGTAAGGTAGTATCATTCTTTCCCTAGCTGTAGGATGATATCTAGGGCTTCTCTCAGTTTGGATACTCTATCTTCTAGCAGTGTAGAAGTGTTGGTTACTTGGCAAAATCCAGCCTATAAAGGACTTGAGTTTCCAAACTGCCAGATTCTTATTTCTTTTCTCTTTTCATTCGCTTCTTTGTCTTTAAGACATAAGTTCTTGAGAGGGCTTTTCCAGCCACCTTTCCTTAGCCATCTTTTGTCTTGGCAAGTATTTCTATCACAGCTGTTACCTTCCTCATCACATTCCAAGGGTCGTACAAACCCCCTTTTCTGGCCCTCTAGATCAGTGGCCCTGTTTGCTGTCACCCACAACTACTGCCTCCACATTTGAAATTCTCTGCCGTAGTAAGCCTTTCTTCTGCTTTCTGTTTTTAAATATTCTTTGAACATGTTTTTTATAGTGACCTCACAACATTTCCTTCTACTAGAAGGCCATACTTACCCAATCCCCATTGTTAAGTATCAACCTTGTTGTCAAAATTTTATTTAGCGCATCCTTGTTCACAAATCTTTAACTCACTTACCTGAGTATATCTTTATGATATATTTCCAAGAAGTGAGACTTAACATAACTCTTTTATTCATTCATTCAACAAACATGATCGCTTAGTTTGTTCCAGACAGTAATAAATGAGAGTAACACAGTCTCTGACCACATAAAACTTGTAAAATGGGATTAAAACACAGACTTCAAGATGAAACCTGCATACTATACTTAACTAATAATAGATTCTGTGCTGGGAGGAAGAGCTCAGGGAATATAAACATGTTTAATTTTTAAATTGTGGATATGTAACACACAGAAAAATGTACAAAATAAAATTATGTCCATGTAACCTAACCCAGGTGCCAGCTCCTTAGAAAACCTCTCTTGAGCCCCTTACCTGTCCTCCCCAGAGGACCGTTTGAAAACTATGACTTTGCTTGTGTTTGTTTTTTAATTATCTATTTGAAAACAATTGAAACCATCAACTGCAAGAACGCAGTGGGCATTCCCACTTACTTTTCACCCATACAAGATGGTGCCTGACTTAATACTGGTTTTAATACCAGCTTTCACTGCACTACAGTGTGAAAGTGTACCCCTGCAGGCTTTCTGTTTTTCTCTCTCAGCCAGTATTCAACAAATGACATGACAGATTCAACACTTCATTTTATTTTATTTTTTTTTTCATTTTTCTTTTATTATTCATATGTGCATACAAGGCTTGGTTCATTTCTCCTCCCTGCCCCCACCCCCTCCCTTACCACTCACTCCCCCCTCCCTCTCCACCCCCCTCAATACCCAGCAGAAACTATTTTGCCCTTATTTCTAATTTCGTTGTAGAGAGAGTATAAGCAATAAAAGGAAGGAACAAGGGTTTTTGCTGGTTGAGATAAGGATAGTTATACAGGACATTGACTCACATTGATTTCCTGTGCGTGGGTGTTACCTTCTAGGTTAATTCTTTTTGATCTAACCTTTTCTCTAGTACCTGTTCCCCTTTTCCTATTGGCCTCAGTTGCTTTAAGGTATTTGCTTTAGTTTCTCTGCGTTAAGGGCAACAAATGCTAGCTAGTTTTTTAGGTGTCTTACCTATCCTCACCCCTCCCTTGTGTGCTCTCGCTTTTATCATATGCTCATAGTCCAATCCCCTTGTTGTGTTTGCCCTTAATCTAATGTCCACATATGAGGGAGAACATACGATTTTTGGTCTTTTGGGCCAGGTTAACCTCACTCAGAATGATGTTCTCCAATTCCATCCATTTACCAGTGAATGATAACATTTCGTTCTTCTTCATGGCTGCATAAAATTCCATTGTGTATAGATACCACATTTTCTTAATCCATTCGTCAGTGGTGGGGCATCTTGGCTGTTTCCATAACTTGGCTATTGTGAATAGTGCCGCAATAAACATGATGTGCAGGTGCCTCTGGACACCTGGACAGTCTTTTGGGTATATTCCCAAGAGTGGTATTGCTGGATCAAATGGTAGATCGATGTCCAGCTTTTTAAGTAGCCTCCAAATTTTTTTCCAGAGTGGTTGTACTAGTCTACATTCCCACCAACAGTGTAAGAGGGTTCCTTTTTCCCCGCATCCTCGCCAACACCTCTTGTTGTCAACACTTCATTTTGAAATAGGCTTTGTGTTAGATGATTTTGGCTAACTATAAGCTAATGTAAGTATTCTGACTGAGCATGTTTTAGGTAGTCCAGGCTAAGCTGTTGTGCTTGGTAGCCTAGGTGTATTCGGTGCATTTTTGACATATTCTTGATTTACAGTGGTTTAGTGGGGTATAACCCTGATGTAAGTCGAGGAGCATCATTATTTACCAGTGAACATTTGTCACAATTCTTTATCCCCCTCCCCACATCATCATCATCATTATCATTACTATTCTGCAGTGCTGGGGACCAAACGGAGGGCCTTGCACATGCTAGGCAAGTGCTGTACCTCTGAGCCACACCACCCAGGCCCCATTACTATTTTTACTTAGCTATTTGAGAATAAGTTGAAAATAAGACCTTTTACTCTTGAATACTGTGGCATGTGTCCTATAAGACAAGAACGTTCTCTTGTACAACCATAATACAGATCCAGATTCAGGAAATTTCAGCAACATGTACAATCCATACTTGAGTTTTGCCACTTAAGTCTTCCATGTTGACTTAAAAAACAAATCTAGGTTCCAATGCAGGATTCTCCATTGCATTAAGTTGTCATTGTCATTTATCTCCTTTTTCCTTGATCATGTCTCCCTAAACAATGTGACTTGGTTTTGGTGGTACTGGGATTTGAACTCAAGGCCTTAAATTTGCTAGGCAAGCACTCTAAGACAGAGAGCCCAACCTCCAGGCCTTTTTTATTTTTAGGTTATTTTTTAGATAGGTTCCCATATTTTTGCCCTGGTCAGGCCTGGATTGGTAATCCTCCTGAGTAGCTGTGGAGGAGCTGAGTAAGCTGAGTAGCTTATAGTTGTGTGTCACCGTACCCAACTGTGACTTTGCCTGGTTTTTGGTCTTTGCATACTACATAAGTCCCTTCATTTATTCTCTGGAATACAAGAGATTAGTAAAACTTGTTCATGCTGTAGCCTGGGGCTATTACTTATTTCTTTCTGTTGCTTCATAGTGTTCCATTATCTGAGCATTCTGCATACGGTTATCAATTCTCTGTAGGACATGCTCTGTTTCAATTTGTAGCTGTTACACCACTTGTGTTTTGAACATTCTTGTCTGTTGAAGTCATGTCCACTCTTTTTTAAAGTTTGTTTTTCAGTTAGGGTCTCACACTTTTGCCTAGGCTGGCCTCCGACCTTGATCTCCCTACCTCTGTCCCCCAAGTAGCTAGGGTTGCAGGTATGTATCACCACACCCAGCTTTGTTTTTGAGATAAGGTCTCACTAACATTTGCCCAAGCTGGCCTGTAACTTCACTCCTCCTATGTACGTCTCTGTAGTAGCTGGGATTACAAGCATGCACCATCACACCAGGCTTGTTTGCACTCTTCCTTTGATCACATAGCTAAGTAGTATTGTTGGCTCAAGCTTTGTTCATATGTTCAGCTTTCGTAGATTCTGCCAGTTTTCCAAAATGGTTGTACCAATTTATACTTGACCATTAATGTATGAGTGTTTGTTCCAGTTGGTCCATGTCCCCTTTTTTTTCAACACTGGAGCCTGACTCAGGGCCTCACACTTGCTAGGCAGACGCTCTTACCGCTTCAGCCACTCCACCAGCCCTTTTTTATGATGGAATTTTTCAAGATAGGATCTCTTGTACTATTTGCCCAGACCAGCTTTGAACTGCGATTCTGCTGATCTCTGTCCCCCCGAGTAGCTAGAATTACAGGCGTGCGCCTTTGGCACCTGGCTTCACATGGCATTTTTTGTATTTAGATATCTGAATGTGCCAAAACTGTTGAGAAGTTCTCCTCCCTGCTTAGTTAGCAAAACTACCTTTTGTAAATCAGTTACCCATCTGTATATGTCTACTGAATTCGTGCACTGATTAGAAAGCCCTACTACTTTAATTAGTGCTAAAATAAATCTCAGTACTATTCTTTTTACTAGCTGTGCTGACCAGAACAATGCCCTATTTAAATTTTGTTAATTGAAACTAAATTAAAAATTCAGCTCCCCAGAACCAGCAGCCACATCTCAAGTGCTCACTAGGCATATGTGACTAGTGGCTACTGTAAAGACAAGCACGGGTAGAGAACATTATCACAGGAAGTTCTATAGTGTAGAGCAGGGGTTGGCAGACTTCTTCTTAAAGGGCCAGAAGCCAGGCCCTGTGTTTTCTGTGCACCTACTCACCTTTGCCTTTGCAATGAAAAGCAGCGCTGAGATGTGTGTAAATGAAGGGACAGGTCTATAGTTCAATAGAACTTTATTTAAAAAAAAAAAAAAGACAGCTGGCCCATGATTGTAGATTGCCAACCTCTAATCTGGAATATTTTGGATCGTCTTGGTGTTGTACATTTCTGTATTAGAATTATCTTTGAATTCTGTCTCCCTATACTTAGAATAGCCAAACCCATAGATACAGAAAGTAGAAGGTGGCTGCCAGGACGTGGAGGAGGGAAAATGTGGAGCTAGAGTTTAATAGGGACAGAGTTTCATTTTCAGAAGAAGAAAAGGGTTGTGGAGATAAACTGTGGTGAAGTTGCACACAGTATGAGTATATGTTAATCCCACTGAAGGATACATTCAGAAATGGTAGATGGTAATGTCTATGTTTTTGCCACAATAAAAAGGTTGGGGGGGGCAGAGTTTTATCTCCTTCAGCCTTCAAAGAGAAGTCAAAACTTTTATTACGATTGTATTGAGTCTCTAGATCAACTTGAGAATCGACATTTGTACATCATGACTTTCTAGTTCCTAAACATGGTACATATTTATTTATTTGGGTCTTTTCATTTCTCTTAGTATTTCCTGCATGGGAAGCACTGCGTGACTGCAGTCAGCAACCTTCAAAATTCACTTGTTCTAATCATCTGCCCATAGTTTTCCTGGACTTGTGACTGTGGAAATAATCTGTCTTCCACGGATACTAACACTTTTCTTTCTGCTCTCCCAGTCCTTTGATTTCTTTTTCTTACCTTATTTCACTGGCTAGGATGTCCAGTACAGCACCCAATAAAAGTGGTGAGTGAGAGTCCTTGCCTTGGCTTCTAAGATTCTTTGCATTTTGGTGGGACCTGTTCTCTTAACGAAGGAAGGTAGCCACACACTGATCACAACAGTGAGCATAGGCTGTCAGGCCTGGTGGCAGCAGTTTTGGGATAGTAAGCAGTCAGTCCTGCAGTAGGCCAGCCTTTGAGTAGGAATGGCAGCTGCAGTAGTCTATATTGATGGAGCTTCCTACACCCAAAGGAAACAAATGGCATCAGAAAGGCAAAGAAAGGAAACTTGGGAGGCACACGATTACGCCATCTTGTCTTTCTATCCAGTTTCTGAAGCTGATGATCTGAATCATTTTTTGTTTTCTAACTCAGCAACTAGGATTTAGGGAAATAAGGAAGGGTAATGTAGTCCCAAGAGAATGTGGGCTTCGTGTTGGTTTCCTATGGATGCCGTAACAAATTACCACAAACTTAGTGGCTTAAAATAGCATCTGCTAGTTCACCATTCTGTGGACAGAAGTCCAGACATGGGTTGGCTTGGCTGGGTCCTCTACTCAGGTCATAGAGGTTGGGTTCAAGGTGTTGGCTGGGTTGAGCTCACCTGGAAGCTCTGGGAAAGATACCACTTCCAAAATATTGAGGTTGCTGGCAAAACACCTGCAGCAGTGGGACAAGATCCTTCTCTCCTCCGGGTATGTTCCTTGTCCCCTTGATCTGGAGGCCAACATTGCACAAGAGTCCTTCTCTTGCTCAGAATCTCTGTCTTCCTGAACATGTACTATATCTCTCTGGCCTTTGATTTTTGTTTTTTCCAGTACACATGCAATGACTTGCATTCTGAAATTCATGGCAGAGAGTTATAAGCCTTGACTTCATAGTTTAAAGAAAGAGAGGGAAAAAATAAAAGAGAAGTCCAGGATTAAGTTCAGTGTGTGTACATGTGTGTGTTAATCTATAATCTAATTGAAAAGAGTCATTGGATTTATCTGGACTCTGGACTGAGGCCATTCTGTCTTTTGCAGCTTGCATTAGGCATGTACTCAGGAGGTTCTTGTTGGAAAGTGGTGACTGCAGTGGTGTGACTTCACCCTGTCTCTCTCTCTCTCTCCATGACTCCAGCTCTTTTTGCTCATGTTATTTTGGAGATAGGGTCTAGGCTTTTGCCCAGGCTCACCTGAAGTGCTGCCTCCAAATTTAGGTCCCCTCCCCCACCACCCAGTTGCTGGGATGATAGGCACATGACACACATCCTGCTTTTTTCCATTGACATGGAGTCTTACTAACCTTTTTTCCCAGGATGGCCTCTAACTACAATCCTCTGAATCTCAGCCTCCCAAGTAGCTAGGATTAAGGTGTGAGGCACTGGCACCTGGTTCTGCCTCTTCTTCTTTCTTTCCTTGTGTGTGTGTGTATGTGTGTGTGTGTGTCTTTGGGGTGGGAGGGACTAGGTTTGAATTCAGGGCTTCACATTCCTCTTATTTTTCTAATACATTCTTTTTCTACCAGGGAGAACTTCTCAAGGTCTATTGCTTTTTCACCAGCATTAATTCTGTCTCACTGTTTCACAGCTCAGTTTCTCAAAGCCCCTTTTGAGTAAAGATGAAAAACCATCTTTAGTCACATTCAAAAACAGCTGGTTCCACTTAAAATATGTAATCGTTAAATTGTTCTACAAATTGGATATGTGTGTATTGGCAGTGAAAATTATATAACTTTGGACTTTCTCTGAGGTGCCTAAATTCTATTTTGTTGGGATTTCTGTAGCCAGCCTGTCTCGGTCAGCCTTCCTAGCTCAAAGATACTATGAAGACTTGGATGAAGTCAGCTCAACATCATCCATCTCCCAATCTCTGGAGAGTGAAGATGCACGGGCACCCTGCAAAGACGACGAGGAGGTGGTGATCCAGGTTCCTCGTCACGCCCCTGTGGTCCGCACTCCTTCCATCCAACCCAGTCTCCTTTCCCAGGCAACGCATTTTGCTAAATCTCACCTGATTCATGGTTCTTCATCTGCGGTAATGGGAACTTCAAGTAAGTTAACAGTGAGAACTATTTTTACCCTTCTAGATTTCTAACAGAGAAAGTTTAACTGCATTTTAGAGTGAAGTTGCAGCTCATTTCTGTTAACGTTCCAGAAATTAGAAGACTGATCCAAAAGATACAGGTTCCCCTGGAAAGCAGTTGGTAGGTTGCTGTAAGGAATAAGAGAACCCTCCAAGGTTTTGCACTTCAGCGGCTTTATGGTGGAGTCCATTGTGTGTTTTTCAAAACAGGTCTTTTTCAGGAGTAAAAGGGGCAACTGTTTTCCTCAGTACAAACCAGCTTCCACACTCATGCCTTTCAAAACCAACTCATTTCAGTTTTTTAGTACATTCTTCCACAAAACTCACAGCTCCAGTGCTCATTGTCAGAATCACCCACTGACATGACCTGTACTGTGCTTTCACTCCTTCTGTGTACTGTCAGTGCTTTGCGTCCTAGTGATTTCTAGCAGAAAACAAAGGCAAGCATGAGGTATTGGAATGAATATATTTTATGAGATGGGATCAGGGCATTGGGCTAAACCGGTATAAAAATTCTCTCCCTGTTGATACCAGAGGAAACAATTACGTGAAGTGTTTAATTAATAGTAGAGGTGGGTGAGCAAGTTGTTGTCTTTGAAAGAGTTAATGCCTTTGCTGTTGGTGCTTAAAATTTTTTTTCTTTTTTTTTTTTTTTTTTCCACAGTTATACTGAGTGTTGAACTCAGGGCCTTGTGGTTGCTGGGCAGATGTTCTACCACTTGAGCCACTCTGCCAACCCTTTTTGCATTATTTTTATGATAGGGTCTGTCTTTATGACTAAACCAGCCTGGACCATGATTCTCAATTGTGCTTTTTCATGTAGCTAGGACGGCAGACATGTGCCACTGTGACCAGCCACTGGTCTTGAACAGCAGTCCTCCTGATCACTGCCTCCTGAGTAGCTAGGATTACAGATTTGAGCCACCATGCCCGGCTGCGAGAATTTTTAATTTTTTTTCCTGTAGCCTAATGTGGAGAATTTACCATTTTAACTTTTGTGTGTTCTCTTTCTCTAATCTACTGTCTCACTTCCTTTTTCTTTTCCCCTCAGTTTCTACATCTACTAGCAAAATTATTCCTCAAGGAGCTGATAGCACAATGCTGGCAACAAAAACTGTGAAGCATGGTGCACCTGGTCCTTCCCACACTGTTGCAGCCCCCCAGGCAGCCGCTGCTGCAGCCCTGAGACGGCAGATGGCCAATCAGGTGCCAGGTAAAAACTCCCACACCTGTGAGAGACTGATTGGGAACTGTCTGAGTCACAGCTGGGACACCAGGGCAGGAAACTACTGGCTTTCTTCACTGTGCTTCACCAGAGGGGTCTGATGTGTTAGTCCCTACAAGACAAAGATTAGATCTGAATTTTTTCCTTTTGGGAGAAGCTATTAGATCTGATACACTTAGTGAAGTGGGAAATCAGTGGGGTTTTTTTGATGTCGATAAGATCTGCTGCTTTGAGCCCAGTCTTTGAAATTAGACCATCTAATGACATTAAAACTATTTTCTAGTACCTTAAGTGTGCCCATTTTGCATTTCAATGGCTTAAGACTGAAAGAAGTGAATGTTACTCAACCAGTAAGTAGTAGCACTTGGGCTCCAATTCTGTACTCTTTCTGTTTCAGAACAACTTTTCCTTAACTTCATAAATTTAGCCTTTATAGATGGACACTCTAATGAGCTAATCAGCATTAAGGTTTTGTTAATGGTTTATTCAAATTTTTCTGTATTAGAATTTAACAATCAAGGGCTCGAGTTGTCATTAGTTATCACTTTGATAAGCCAATTGTTCTTACCTCTCCAAAACAATTAGCAAGCTTGCTGGCATTTAGCTGATAGAGGCTAGCAAAGCAGCACAAAAGTCTTAAAATGCATAGGATTCCCCCGCAGCAGAGGATCATCTAGGCCCAGAATGTCAGTAATGCTAAGGCTGAGAAACTGATAGGAGCCAAATAGTTCACTTTAAGAAGACTAAAAAGGCCTGGTGGTTTGAGTTAGACAAAAAAGAATTACCATTAAACAGTGATAAATCAAAGGATTTCTAAGAAGAGTTCAAATGTTAAAACCCTCTCAAGGCACCTAAAGTAGATACTGAAAAGTAAAGACAAGATAACTTTGAGCCTTCAGAACATTTAATTCTTTTATGTTCTCTTTATTATGTGCACCAAGCAGAATCTCAGCCTTGTGCTGATCAGGCCCCAGGTCCAACCAATTGAGTTCATTATTTGTAAAGGTAAAGTCTTCAGGGACTTAGGAATGATCTGTACCCAGCAGGAGGTGCTGCGACTTCCATTATCATGGTAGAGCAAGTTTTTAAGGGATAGGTGCCTTTGCATGTTGAAGACAAGATCTGTGCAGTTACAGGCAAGATGTTCCTGGATGCTCCTCTGAGGAGGGGAGTGAGTCACTGCAGACCCATCAGTGCTTGGGATGCAGCTCTCACCTTTGCCAAGGATGTAGTTAGAGACCTGAGAGCTTTTCTCAGGCTTTCTTAATAGCTAATTAAGTCTTTTGGAATAGAATAGAAAAGTATAAGGCATGAGAAGTAAAAGCTGATGAGACAAGTAAGGTAGGTAAGTAGGCATCAAATATATCCCTGTTACCATTCCTTAATTCAGGCCTCTTGCTGAATTCTTGTATGCACTCCATTTGCATATTATGTCAATCAGTCTGTCTGTCTGTCTCACTAAGCCATGAGCTCCATTAAAGGAGAAGCTGTACTTGAGACAGCTTTGTATTCTCAGCAGTGGACAGAACCTAGAACATAATAGACCTGTGGAAGAGGAGGACAGGTGGATGCACAGCATTTGTCCTGAGCTCAAGGCTGCTAATCCTCTGGCTTTGCTACCTTTTTCTAAGATGAGTCAGCAATATGGCGGCACCTCATCTCTGCCATAGGAAAACTGGCCAGGGAGTTCTTCCCTGCAAGATTACGTTTGATTAGTTGCATGAAGCCTTGTTCCCTGACTTTTGTTAGTGGTGTTCCATTAAACACACTGCTGAGTAGATTTCTTTTGTATAATGAGGTTGCAGTCTGCTCAAGGTTATGTCCTGGTTGTTCATTTCTATAGGGCTTCTTGATCTTTTACTGAAATTATTGTGGTTCTCTATCTTCTCTATTTGCACAGCTGTGAGCACTTTGACTGAGTCAACTTTGAAGAATGTGCCTCAAGTGGTGAATGTGCAGGAACTGAAGAGTAATTCTACAGCCCCTTCTGCAGCCATGGGGTATGTTACAGTACTCTGTGGATTCAAGCCAATGGATTTTTCTAGAATGGAGGTGAACTGCTTTCAGGGAGCAGCACTGCTGCTGTCATTGTGGCTTTTTCCCTGCAGAGCTGTGGGTCAGAGAGCCCTGCTATGCCCCTGGTTGGGTTTTTGGGAGGCTGTCCTTTTTGACTGGCCAGTAACAGTTGTTGCCTCATGAGCCTGTGGTCTGTCTTGGTGTACACCGAAACTGCTGTTTGCTGTGTCTAAGTCTTCATGGGGTACCAGTAAGTCCGGTGTGTAGTTCGATTTTAAGTGCTCTAGAGATTCCAAATTCGACACTTCAGATCTGACACTGACTACTGATTCTAAAGACTCTGGTCTTCTCAAGGATGACCGTGTCCTTCCTCACCTCCTCTGTTCAGGCATTTCTGTTCTTTTAATTTCTCTTGCCTTTTATAAGAAGAAACAATATTTTAGAAGTCAACAGCTGTGTTTGCAGACCTTCCACTTCTCTTTGCCGTTTGAGGGCAGAATTGTTCCTACCAGTGCTTGCTTAACTTTAGTTCATCTGTGCCAACTTTTTCAACTATTCCGGGCAGCACAGTTCATATCATATGTCGGTGCCCTGCTCTGCTGTATGCATTTTGTAGCTACAATTCCTTTAGGACCACCAGCCCCTCCTGTGCTATAGGGAAGAGTTATGGAACAGTTTCTTAGATTGATCGTAGCCATCATTGGGTACCAGTATCTTTCAGGGAGTCAGTGTGTGGTACCCACATTAGTCCCAGCAGCAAGAAGAGCAGCAACAGGCCCTGTGGTTTTTCCACAACGTACCCACTCTCTGCTGCCCCCACACAGTAGACCAGCTTGCAGCTCAGTTTTCACTTTGGTGAGTGACTCCACTTTACCAGTCTTTTTTCTCCATTGCAGTCTATTTACCAACACTGCCTGCTGTACAGATTTTTAGTTATCTCAGGGCCATAATAACAGCCATCTCATAGTGACCTTGATGCCTTGGAATGCTATTTAGACCAGAGTGGTATTTATGGTTATTGTGAACATCTCAAGAACTATGCTTTAAAGTTTGAGAGCTATAGCCAGATTCCCATTATAGGGAAAGGAAGGCAAGGAAAACCAGAGAAGGACAAAATATTGTGTAAGGCAGGAGCAGCAGCATGTGGTAAAAAGTGTGATCTAGTGATTCTGAGACATTTTAACCCATAACCATATATGAGAAGCACCTCTGTGGGTTTCCTTCATCTTTGCTCAGGCTTTGTCTTTCATGATTCATCTGAGCTGATCTCTGATACTGGCTTTGTTCAAGAAGCATGTCTGTACTACTTCTTTTTCTTTTCTTTTTTGGCAGTACTAGGATTTGAACTCAGGGCCTCATGCGCACTAGGCAGGCACTCTACCACTTGAGGCACTCTTACCAGCCCTATTTTGTGTTGGGTACTTTCAAGACAGAGTCTCACAAACTGTTTTCCTGGGGCTGGTTTGACTGTGATCCTCTTGATCTCTGCCTCCTGAGTTGCCACAGGCACCCGACTTGGACGTACAAGTCCAACTTTTTCTAACAAGAAATATAGACACAAAGCTTGAAGGAGAATCTTAAGAATCCTTCTCAACAGAACTGGACTCTGGTATGATTATTTAATTTATATATCCAGCATGGTGCCTGAAAAAGTTCCTTTTTTTCTTAACAGTTCCTTTTCAAAAAACCATTTACTCAGTAATTGACAAAGTACTCTAAACATAATTGATAAATGAAAATTGGTATTTACTGCCCTCTCCCATGGAAAAAATTGAGAGTGGAATATGATCATTGTAAAATGACGTATTTTAAGATTGTTTGAAGCAGTTGTTTCCAAAGTGTATTTTAGATATTTAACTTTGCGTTTAACTTTTTCTTTTTTGGAGGTACTGGGATTTGAACTCAGGGCCTTGAGCTTGGAGGCAGGCGCTTTAGCTTTTGAGCTGTACCTCTAGCCCCAGTATAATTTTTTCAGAATGATATCTTAATAGATTTATTGTAGGACAGACTTACATATTTCTGCTACTGGTGTATCTTATGTTCATTGGCGTCATCCATTCGATTGACTGGCCATCCTGTTTTATGGAGGTGTTTACTAGACCAAATCCATAGCTGTTCGGACTATTTGTAGTGCTCAGTCACCTGCTTCAGCAGATTGTTGCAGAGCATCTGTTATGAGCATGATGCTGCCCTGGGGATTTGGGGGACTAGTGAAGAAGACGTGCCAAGTGTATTCTCTCACAGCACTTACATTTAAGCAAGAAATCGCAGTTACTTATTTGCAGTATAGTAAGGTTGAAGAAGAAGTGCAGGATACTAGAAAACATTAGACAGAGCTGCAGAGAGAGCCTGGCTTGGGAGGAGTTGGTGTTTTAGCTGAAATTTGAAGTGACCAGAGTTGCTAGGCAGAGTGGAGAGCAAGGGTATGCTGGACAAGGGGGTGCAGTGTATGTGAAAGCAAACCTGGGAGAGGACAGGACACATTTGAGGTTAAGTTGAAAGAAGGCCAGAATAACTCGAAAGCTGGTAATAAAGGACTGGAAAATAAAGAAAGTGGGCCAAAAGAGAGGTGGGATTTTGGGTTTTGTTTGTTTTTCCCAAAACACATCAGACACCATTGCTTTCAGAGATTTTGGCATTCATTCAGTCATTTATTCATTTTTTTCAACAAATTCTTGAGTGTTTTATATGCCAACACCCTAGTCTCAGACCTGAAACCACTGCCCTGGTCATGGAGAGACAAACATTAAGCAAAACAAATAAGTAATTTACGTAATAAATTTGGTGATAGTTGTGATAGAGAAAAGCAATGTAAGGGAAGAATTTAGGGAGTGTTGTTTGGGTATGGGTGACCATTAAATAGGGTGGCCAGAGAAGGCCTTCTCAGGAAGATGACATTTTAATGAAGACTAAATAGCCAGTGAGCAGGTCTAGTGAACAACTGAGAGAAGAACACTTTAGCACAGGAGTCTACAGTAAGTTGGTTCCCAAAGACCTGGAGGTGTCTTGTTGCCAGAGCAGAGGAAATAGGAAGGGAGCAAACAAGAAGGGGAACATAGGAGATAAGGTTGGAGAATATATTCAGGTCTGGGGTATATATTTGTGAGTGGAATTGCTGGATCATATAGTAATTCTATATTTAGCTTTTTGAACTAAACAAAGCTCAAACTTTCACGAAGCTGCTGTGCTATTCTACATTCCCAACAGTATATAGGTTTCCAGTGTTTCCACATCAGCAGCAATTGTTAGTGATTACTTTTTAAGATTGTAGCAATCCTTCAGGGTGCAAACTGTCCTCTTCACACTCTGTTTGTAGTTTTGATTTTTTTATTTTTGTTTTCCTAATGGCTAATGATGTTGAGTGTCTTTTTTTATGTGCTTACTGGCCATTTGTTGCTTTCTTTCCCACTCTCTCTCTCTTTTTTTTTTTTTTTTTTTTGAGTAATGTCAAGTTAGAGATTTTGTCTACTTTTTAATTGGGTTATTTTCCTTTTTATTATTGAGTCATAATATCCTTATATAATTTGGATTCTAGTTCTCTCTCAGACATAAGATTTACAAATATTGTCTCCCACTTTTTGGGTTTTTTTTTCACTTTCTTAATGTGTCCTCTGACACACAAGAATTTTTAATGTTGATGCAATTCATTTTATTTTTTTCTCTGGTTGATTCTGCTTTAGATACGATATTTAAGAATCCATCATCTAATCCAAAGTTATAAAATTTACACCTTTGTTTTCTCTTATGGGTTTTAAAGTTTTGGCTGTTTTATTTAGGTCTTTGATCCATTTTGAGTTAACTCTGTAAATGGTGTAAAGTTGGGATCCCACTTCATTCTTTTGAATGTGAATATCCAGTTTTCCCAGCACCATTTGTTGAAAGACTTCTTTCCCCCAGCCCCCCTTGAATTGTCTTTTTATCCTTGTTACATTGATTGGTCTTTGAATGTTAAACCATCTTTGTTAATAATGTATTGCCCTTCTAATACGTGACTGGGTTCAATTTGCTTAAACTAAAAACAAAAAAAAAATGCATCTATCTTAATGAGGGATATTGGTCTATAGTTTTTGTTTTCCTATAATGTCCTTGTTTCGTTTTGGTGTCAGAATAATGCTTTTCTTACAGAATGAGTTAGAAAGTGATCGTTCCTCTTCCTGGGAAGAGTTGTGTAGATTTGGTATTATTTCATACTTAACTGTTTAGTAGAATTCACTGGTGGAGCCACATAGGCTTGGGATGTTCAACTTCCCAATGACTCATGAGTAGAATATCAGTCATCCTGGTAAATGCCCAGGTGTACTTCCAAAGAACATGCATTCTGCTTGTGGTGGTTGGGGTGTTCTAACAATATAAGATAAGGTGCTTTATAATTAATTGCTGAAATCTTATATGTTCCTAACACTTGCTCTATCAAGAGAAATAGTGTTGACATTTTCAACTGTAGTTGAGTTTGCCTCTTTTCCTTGCAGTTATGTCCATTTTCATCTCATGTGTTTTGAGGTTCTCTTACTAAGTTTCATGAACATTGTTTTGTTCTTTGATGAACTGACCTAATTATTACAAAGCCACCCTCTTCATCCCTTATAAGAGTTTTTGCTCAGAAATCTGTTTTCTTCAATAATATCTCTACTCCAGCCTCTTTGTTTAATGTTAACATAGCATTATCTTTTTCTATTCTTTCATACTGAACTTATTTTGTGTGTGTGTGCTTTCGTTTTTTTGGCAATACTCAGCTTTGAACTTAGGGCCTCAAGTTTGCGATGCAGGCGCTCTACCACTTGAACCGTACCCCAGCCCTTTATGCCTTCTTTATTTTTGAGATAGGGTTTCACATTTTTGTCCAGGCCAGCCTGGACCAATGTTCTCCTACTTATTTCTTCCCATGTAGATGGGATGACAGGTGCATGCCACCATGTCCAACTTTTTTGTTGTTGAGATCATGTTTCATTAAATTTGGCCCCAGGTGACCTTGAGCTGTGATCCTCCTCTCTGCCTACTGAGTATCTGGGATTACAGGTACGGGCCACTATGTCTTGCCTCTGCCTTTTTTTTTTTTTTTTTTTGGTGGGGCTGAGGTTTGAACCTAGGGCTTTACACTTGCAAAGCAGACACTCTACCACTTGGGCCATAGCTCCAGTCCATTTTACTCTGGTAATTTTGGAGATGGGAGTCTCATGAACAGTTTGCTCAGTCTTCCTGATCTCAACTTCCCAAGTAGCTAGGATTACAGGCATGATCCATCAGCACCCCAGCCTGTCTTCTTTTGAATTGAATATTCTTTAATGATAACTATTTAGTCTTTTTTTGTTGGCTTATTAACCATAACTCTGTTATTTAACTGGTTGCATTAGGCTGTAACATACACACATCTTTAACTTATCATAGTCTGTCTTCAAGTGATATTATACTAACTAGCAAGTCTTTTGCAACAGTATTCTGTTTCTCCCTTCCTTCCTTTGTGCTGCTGTTGTACATTTTATTTCCTCCCAAGTCATAAATAAACCCCATGATGCATTGTTGCAAGTAGCTGACTTCTGAAATAGATTCAAATGAGAAGAAGGCCTCTTATGTTTATGCAGAGAGTTAGGGATCCAGTATTCATCCTCTGCTCAGTCGCCAGGTCCATCTAGCATCATCTCTCTTCTGCTGGAGGACTTCCTGTAATTACTTCTCAAGTTGAAGATCTGAATTCGCTCAGAATTCAGCAGAATTGTCTGCTGAAAATTGTAAGTTTGTTTTGGAAGTATATTTTGCTGGGGAAGGAATTCTAGGTCAACCTTGTTTTTTTTGTTTTTTTCTTCCCCCCACCTTTCACTGATTTTACAGTGTTGTTCAACTTTAAAAATGACTATTGTAATGACCCAAAATCTTAAAATGTTAGTCCCTATATTTTTCATATTACAAATGTTCATTATAGACTTACTAAAAATAACAAAATTTAAATCACCTTTATTCATACTACAAATATATAATTATTCCTTAGACGTTTTTCATCTTTATTCTGTGGAAGTTTAGCTTTTCAAAGTAGAATTTGGATACATGCTACTTTGTAACCTTCAACTTAATCATAAATTCAGTTGTTTACATTTCCCATGTCATTAAAATTCTTATAAGAATTCTGTTTTCATATTCATTATGAACTCTGATGCAGTTCTGGCATATTATTTAAGGTGCTTAGTCTCTAGACACTAGATACTAGAAACTGCAGTTTGAACAGACTTTGGATAATGTTTGAGTCTTCACAGACATAAAATTCACCAACAGGGGCCAATAGTTGGCAGGTACATCTGCCAGATATTAGAAAAAAGTTACCCAAATGTGGTAATTCTGGATTTAGCTTTTCTGCCGCTGTACTGATTGCCATTGTTTTAACTCATGATTGTGCACAAATCTAAGCAAACTTGTTTGGGGGATACTCTTCTCTGTTTGCCCTTTTGAGTCCTGGTGGAGATTTCTTGTACCCAGTTTATCAGTTGGTTTATTGACTGTCTGCACTAAAAGCATTTTTGTCACATGGCCTGGTGTGGGGGTACTGTGAATCCTCACTTGGTATGTTTGGAAGTTTAGGATACCCAGACACAAGTAAATAGGACAGTAATTATACTCAATCTGTTCCTTGCATGATTGAATTTAGCATCATGTTGTAACTGCATTTGGGGTACAAAAAGTTTTCCAAGGCTTGGATAAATTGCTCTATTTGTTTTTATTTCTAACTTCTTTTTCATCTTTGAGCAGAAAAGAGTTTCATTTCCCTTGTGATTCTCGCCAGCTCAAACCATTTCTTTCAGCAAACATGCTGTGTCCACCCAGGGATTGCTCAGTACCCAGCAGTCTGCTTGTTCATTCCTTCTCTCCATTGGAGATTCAGCAGAGGCAGGGGCAAGTGCGGTCCCTATGGACCTGCTTGGTGGAACAGGGCAACAGGGATGAGTTTCCTCCAGAGAGATGAACATTTATAGCTTATATTGGCTTTAACAGAAACACAATGGGGGTTTTATTTCTCTGAAAACAACATTTTGGTGGTGGTGGTGTGGTGGTTCTCAGTCTAATGAAGTCTATTTGGAAGGATCCTATGTGATTCCAGCAGAGAACATCAGTGTGCTTGTGAGAGTTAAGTTGTTTGATAATTAATGTCCCTGGATAAGGCCTGGGGCTATCTTTGTCTTTCCTCTTTCAAGTTAATTTTTTGATGAAAAATTATTCGTAATCCTCCCTAAATCTGTAAAGAGTTTTGAAAAATAAAACAGATCCTACACCTATTACTACTGATTAATGAAGTAATTGTCCCTGACATACAGTGCTCAGAGTTAGCCAGAAGATGGTGAGAGGTATCTCTGCAAATAGGGGTACATTTTTCATGATATACCAATATGTCCATTGGAAACAGAATATAACACAGTCAAATCCCTTGTATGCTGTCTAGGTAAGCCCTGGGCACCTGGGATAGGTGCTTTCAGAAGCTCACATCTCTCTAAGCACCTTTGAATTGTATGTGACAGCAAATAATGTCCATAGATCCTGTTGAATATCTTTTTGAGTATCGGGAATTCCCCCCACACAGTCTAGTGTAGGGTCAGAACAAGAAGGCGGAGGGCCCCCTCTCCAGATAGAAATGATCCAGTTCTAAATGGTTACAAATTCTTTTCTTAGAATTATTGGAAGGAAATAAATTTGAAGGTTGCTGCTTTGAATTTAATGCTAGAAACCCAATTTTCATTAAAAAATTTACTATTCAACAAAATGTCTAATGAATTTTGTTAGGGTTCCAGACCTTAGTATTCTAACCAAAATTAGTATCGTTTACTGGACCGAAAGCTGGCTCGAGGGCCAGTCTTGCCTCTTACCAAGTACAATGCTTTGTGTCTTTTTTCAGTTCTTCAGTGCCATACTCCACAGCCAAAACACCCCACCCAGCGTTAGCCCCAGTAACTGCCAGCCAAGCCAAGCAGGTAACTTACTAATTTTTACTTTAGTGGTTATGCAGTGTCTGTCTTTGTAACTGAAAATCATACTGCTTTGAGTCTTACCTTTTTTTAAATAAGATGTAATTCTAAGGCCTGTGACTGTTTTCCAACAATTTTTGCCAGTCTTGACATGGTTAACCAAAAAAGCCAGTCAGTACCTGACAGTGTCTTCATGGGCTATTTGACATTCTATACTACTCATCGTCACTCTTATACCATAGATTTGGGTGAGGTTTTTTGGTTTGCCATTTACTTCCACTTAACATTATCTTAGCTAATCCTAATTGCCATGTGCAATAGGTTTTAGATATGTTGCTCAGTTAGTGACTGGTAGAAACAGAGCTGGGACCCAAGGCCTCTGACTTCCTATCCTCTGCTTATTCCTCTGTACTGTTCAATATCAGTGTTTTGGAGGATAGGTTGTCTTGTTTTCTCCTGCAATCTCCGTTTTTCTAAGTTTGCATATTTTCAGTGATACTATATCTAGCTTTGAACTTTTGACTGATAAAAAAAAGTCTCCTACAAAAACAGGTTACATCATAAACAACGTAAGAACAACCCAGAAGAAAATAAGAGATGACTGGAAAGTAGATCAAGCCATCTCTGAAAGTTTTCCTTAGGAATCCTGGTTTCTCTTCCTCTTTTACATCTGTCTCTGAAATGAGTAACTTTAGATTGGGTTTGAGATCTGGATTTAAGACCGAACCTCAGAACTCGCCCACTGTGAGTTCTCAAACGTGACCGTATTCTTTAGTTTGCCATGACTTAAGATGGAATTTAAACATTTAGCATTTGACACTCTTTTGGAGGTTTTTTTGTTCTCCCTGGAAGGACACCTGATAAAGTATAAATCACGACAGATTGAGTGCAAGAACACTGACTGAACATGGAAAGCTCAAACAGTTCTGTTTATAACCTTATTGTACATTCACTGAGAGCTAGGACCATTTCCTTCAGTTGCTTATTCATTCATTGCTCTCTACCAAATATTCAAGTGTCTTTTATGTGCCAAACACTATGCCAGCCGCTGGGAAAAATAGCATGAGCTAGACAGGCATAACTGCTTTCTTAGAGATGGCAGAATAGTCCTCTTTCTGTCTTAACTTGAAATATTCTTTTTTCTTCCTTTTCTTTGGTAATTAAGTAAAATGAACATATTTATGGTTGTTCAGTTTATGGTTTTCCATTCACATTTTGCATGTTCCTATATTCCAAGTGTGGTTAGTGGTCCAGTATTAACATTTTTCTTGTGTTCTGTTTCAGGGGTCTCTGATAAATTCCCTAAAGCCATCATCCACTCAGTTGTCATCTGGTGATAAAGCCTCAGGTCAGTTTGCATTTCTGTTTTAGTGAAAATAAAGGTGAAAGAAGCACCTAATAGAGTTTATTGTTCTAGATCACAGGCAGTTGACATAAGGAATCAAATATGGAGGTCATATTTGAGCGGTCTCAGCTAATAAGGAATTTCTAGGAAGTGAGTAAGCCTTTTAAAAGCTTCTCACATTTTGCCAGGAGTCAGTGGCTCACATCTGTAATCCTAGCTACTGGGAAGGCTGGAATCAGAAGGATCTCAGTTCAAGGCAGCCTAGGCAAGAAGTTCATGAGACTCCCGTCTTAACCAATAGCTGGACATGGTGGCATGAGCCTGTCATCCCAGCTACACAAGAGGCTAAAATTGGGAGAATTCATGGTTCCAGGCCAGCCTGGACAAAAATAATTTGTATCAGGTTGGTGGTGGGGGAGATGTTGAGCATGGCAGCATGTGCTTGTCATCCTCAGGTGGACAAGAAGCTTAAAGTACTAGTATCCCAGTCCAGGCTGGCCTGTGCAAAAAGTAAGACACTATCTCCGAAATACCCAGAGGAAAAAAAATGAGGTGGAGGGGAGAGGGCTTGAGGCATGGCTTAAGTGGTAGAGCGCTTGACTGAAGCCCAGAGTTCAAACTCCAGTACCACTCCCACAGTGCCACTCCCCCAGCCTACCCCAACCTCCCGAAAAAAAGAGCTTTGAAAAACTAGAGTTAGGAGAAAACCTTTTTCTAAGTTCTTTTTCTGACAAAGAGCAATTGGTGTTGTCTTCTATCTTGCTAGATGATCATAGTTAGAAAAGAATAAATAGAACATTGAATACTCTATATTTCCTCTATGAAAAGTAATAAGTTCTCTTGCCTCACAGTGTCAATTCAAAAGCTGGTAAATTATAGAAAATAAAATGGATTTGTTAAAATGTAAGATCTCAGAAGAGATCACATGCTTGTCTTACGTTCTCAAGTATAATTATTCTGTATTAAATTAGTTTTTGCAATAATAAATGTTTTGACCATGGTCCTCATTGCCAAAGTCAACTCGAAGCACCTAATTTTCATGTGGATCTTCTTCATTGTCCCCTTTTGTTTGCTCCTTTTTTTTTTTTTTTTTTTTTTTTTTTTTTTACAGCCTACCTCATTTGGCACATAAAACACTCCCAAGTAAAAAGGCCCTGCAGTACCTGCAGTCCTATATTTTGACCACACTCTGGACTCTAGCTTTTATTTTCATTGATGTTCCCAAGTGCTTGAAGTTCTTCAAGCAAATTCTATTGGAGTCTGAACTTCACCATTAGCTCTCCATTTCCCATATCTTCTCAGTCATACAATCATTCTAACTTTCTCTGTTACCCAGAACTTTGTGATTGAATATCGGGTTTGCCTTCTGTAAATATTTCCACCAGAATTTGGATCACTGTGGAGTCATAGTTGGTATCATATGTGCCTCACGTGAGGAGGAGGGGATAAGACTTCTTGACTGATGCCTCAAGCTTGATGCAGAAAAGAAAATTTAGTGCAATCATCAGGATCCAAACTAAGAAATTTGGCTAATATTTTCAAAAATTTTGAAAGATCCTAACTTCTAAGTACTTCAGTGGAGAACTCTTTGTCACTCTTGAAGTTAAGAATCAAGGAAGCCTAAGAGACCTTGCTTCATGCATGTCTTAGGCAAGTAGCTAACTTGTAAAGAACTTACCTTCTGGTATTTACCAATAAAGACCACTGTTACTTGTGTTTTCACTTGATGGATAATCAAGTTTTACAAATATATATATTTACACATACACACACAGAAAGAGAGGTTACTTATGTATGTATATATTGAGATTACTTCATTGTTTAAAAAAAAAAAAACGTTTATCTTACATGTACTGATTTTGACTCCCCTTATCCTCTGCCCCTGTTGCAATAAATGTCCTGTTCATTTTTCCTGATCTGGTACATGTTTACTTTACTTGTTTTGATGGCTGCTTAGGACTTCATTGTGTAGCTCCCAGTTTCATGTCAACAGCACACTGCTGATAGTTCAGAGTATTTCTCACTACGTTGAACTTTATTGAATATGCTTGTAACGCTGCATTGTAATCCAATAGTTTTTAAACTTTTATCGTCTCTACCCCAGATTCATTTAAAGAAAAGGTATTTTTCTCACTATCATTTGGCTTGATTTGGAATTTTTTTCTATTCAGTGTTCCTATTCCCTTGTCACCTTTTAAAATAAAGTGGCAAGGGAAAGATTGAAGATTATACCCAAAACTATTAGTAAGTAGTTAGAGTGCAGCTGAATAGGAGGAGGATGATGACTTCACGTGTAACTTTCTCTGTACTGTAATCATGAATTCCTTTGTAATTAAAAAGCTTGAAAACTTCTCATTGTTAAATACAAAAATCTATGGAAATACATAGAGAAATATGATATAGTAAGCACTAAAGTCGCTAGCCATAAATGTCTACCATGTTAACCTCTTTATTTTTTATTTTTTGGATTTTTTCCACTTCAGTACATGTTAACTCCAAATAATTATGAAGCATACGTTATATGATAAGCATTTTGCCATACTATTGAAATAAAGAAGAATGTATTTTTTTAACTTTGAATTTAAGGTGCATTGGAATTGTGTTGATACCTTTTCTGAAAATGCCAGTGTGGCATGTCTTTGGTTGGAATTAATATTGGCAGAACTGAAAGCAAGTTCAGAGCTGTGAGCACAAGTCAGGCAACATACTAGCTGTCCTCACCTCACTGCTTGTCACAGAGTGCATGTAAGGTTCTGAAACCTGAAGCTGCTACTGTGAGCTGCACCAGGCAGTCTAAGCTGCAGGGAACTACACACCAGAATAGTGTTTCTAACTGACTGAAATACCTTATGTTTTTTTCCATAATTTCAGGGCCAGGAGCAGCCAAGACAGAAACAGCTGTGACCTCAACTCCATCTGCTGTGGGGCAGTTCAGCAAGCCTTTCTCATTTGCTCCGTCAGGGTCAGTGATGACCTTAAATTTTGTGGTAAATCCCCAGCAACCTTACAGGTTGCTTCCCCAAGTCTTACCATCACCAGGAATATTTACATGTTTCTTAAATGCGAATGAACCGGAAGTTACTGCAGCAGTGCATCTGCTGAGAGTGGCAGTAGCTGAATGCTCTAATTAAATCTTTTTTTTTTTTTTTTTTGCTTGAACCTCATTTTCTGTGGGTAGTGTGAGTGTTGAATTCTATGGATCATCTGGTTTATCACACTAAGATATTTTTATTCTGGCAGCATTTGGGGGCTAAGTGTGAAACTTGAAGTGACTTTACTACATTAAGAGTTCAATACACTAACCTGCATAGAAAATGCAAACCCACTTGAAATTGTGGGTTTTGTATAGATGTGGGAGAGTGTGTTTCCCTTTCATTTTTTAAAGTAGAAATGATGGCCATATTTGTAAAGTTGAGTCATTTTATAAAACAAAAGTTTCTTCTGAACTTTATTGGAAGGTGATCCTTTATTCAATGTGAGGTCAGTGTGCCAGTTCTCTGGGTTACGAGCACTCCTGTTGAAAACCATGTGAGCTACTAGAGGGATCTTCTTCCTAAGTGGGCAGGGTCAAACTGTGGCTGAGGTCAAGACCTGTCAGCAGATCTGTTGCCACTGGCAAGGGTGGGCATTCAATTCCATTAGAAAAGCCCCTTCAGTGCTTTCAGTTTATGCTTGTGTAACTAGAATCACACTAGCCACAGTCCCTTTCTCCTGATGTTAATTTGTGTTCCCCTGAAATCCTTCTGCCTAACAAGTAAGAAGAAAAGAGGGTATTAGAATAAATTCTCAAGTGGTGGGCCTGCCTAGTGAGCAGGTAGCCCTAAATTCTAACCCTGGTGCCACCAAAGGTCTAAGAATAAATCTTGAGGGAGAAAATTATGCTATCTGTGTTTTTTCTTTTATAAATCATTAATGTTTTATAACTCCCAAAGGTATTTTGGAGCAAAATTTAAAGAGTTAGTTACTGCATCCTTTGTAAGTGCTACTTCTGTGAAATAATAACTCCTCTTCCCTGGTTTTTGTTGTTTTTGCTTTTTGTGGTACTGGGGCTTCAATTCAGAGCCTTCACCTTGAGCCACTCCACCAGCACTTTTTTGTGATGAGTTTTTTTGAGATAAGGTCTCGCAAACTATTTGCCTGGACTGGCGTTGAACAAGATCCTCCTGATCTCTGCCTCCTTTGTAGCTAGGATTATAGGCGTGAGTCACCAGTGCCAGTTTTTAAAATAAGGTGGAAAGATTTGAGTCATTGAGGCAATGTGTTGATAAAGGTTGGAGCCTACCAACAAAGAAAACAGGCTTTTTAAAAATTTTGTTTTGTTTTAATATGATAAAAGAGTTAACACATCTTAAGAGACTTTGTCCATTTGATGAAAGCAACGATGAGTAAGAAAACCTAAATCCTTACATTATTTATGGAACCTAAATCCTTACATTATTTATGGTTTGATATGCTTGGTCCCTTATATTTTAAAACTCTTATTCAGGAGCTGGACATGGTGGTGTACATCTATAATCCCAGCACTTAGGAAGCTGAGGCAGGAGGATCAAAAGTTTGAGGCTACCTGCTATGATTTAAGACCCTGTCTCCAAAAACAAAAACAAAAACCCTGCAAGACTAGTGATGTAGATGAGCAGTAGAGCACTTGCCTAACATACACACGGACTTGGGTTTGATCCTCATCACCACGAGAAAATAAAACCAAACACTGCCCCCTCCCACCCCTACAGAAAACATCTCTATTCCCTGTTCACTTTACACATTTGTCACTGAAGCTTTTATTACAGTGATTAATCTGTTCTGGTTCATGCTGGTGCTGAATTTCCTTCTTTGACTTTGGTAGCTTTACTCACAGTGTAAAGAACATGTACAGCAGAGGAGAAATGGTGAAAGGAGTCAAAAAGTTTTGAACCAAGTTTTCCCAACCCAGAATTCAGACTGGCAGAAACAGTGGCTTCTATTGCATTCTATCTAGCATCCCCCACTAGTATCATGGGGCTTTTTCCCTAATCTAGCTGCTGCTATTTTACCAGACTTCTCTTCTACTCATTCACTACACAGGCCTGTGCTCCAGCCTCTGTTCCCAGTGCACATTCCTGCTGGGTTTCTGCTACTATTGCTTTGCTTTCCTTGGAGTAAGTCCCCCTCCAGACCTCTGCCATGGAAAGCCCAGCCATTCCTCCAAGACCTTCTCAGCTGTTACCCTTTCTTACCTCCCCTGCTTGGAGATAGTGGGCTGGCTTTACTGCCTCTGAGATGCCTACTTTCACTCCGGTGTGTTTATCTCCAGCTATAAATTCCGCAAGGGCAGATTGTATAAATGCATTATAAAGTGGAATATTTATGTTGTACCTTTGCTTTGTCCCTGATTTTAACTTTTATTTTTCCACTTACCAGGACTGGCTTTAATTTTGGGATAATCTCACCAACACCGTCTTCTAATTTCACTGCCACACAAGGTATAGTCTCTGTGTTATATAACGTTCCTTTTGTATTTTCCCTAAAAAGTGCAGTTATTTTCTTTTTTTTTTTATTATTCATATGTGCATACAAGGCTTGGGTCATTTCTCCCCCCTGCCCCCACCCCCTCCTGCAGTTATTTTCCTACAGATGTGTTGCTATCTTAGCCATTCCTGAGTCTTGCTTATAGTTTCTACAGTAAATCTGATCTTGATAATGTGCATTAGAAATATGTTGAAGGGCCAGGGTGCACCTCAGGATATAGCAGTTGCTCAGCATGCAAGAGGAGGCATGGGGAGGAGGAAAAAAAAAGTTCAACTTAAAACCTGATGTGAAGGACTTCTACTTCCATAATTAAGAATAAGAAAAGGGGCTGGATACCATGGCCCATGCCTGTAATCCTAGCAACTCTGGGTGGAGATCAGAAAGGTCCAAGTTCAAAGCCAGCCTGGGCAAGAAGTTAGGGAGATCTTATCTTAATCAATGAGCCAGGCATGGTGGTGTGATTCCAGCTACTCTGGAGGCCATAGGTAGGAGAATCTTGGTTTGAGTCCAGCCCCAAACAAAAACTTGAGACCCTACCTGAAAAATAACTAAAGCAAAAAAGGGCTGAGGGTGTGTGGCTCAATTGATAGAGTACCTGCCTAGCAAGCATGAGGCCCTGAGTTCAAACCTCAACACCAAAAAAATTAAAAAAACAAGGAAAGAATTTACTTCTGAAAAGTCAAGGCTGTGTTTTAACATTTAAATGTGAACGTGAATTAAGATTTTTACCTCCATCTTTTTCATCTATAAGTTAAAATTGTATCAATTTTAGAGTGATTCTTTAGGATGATTTAGACATAGTAGTATAGAGATAAAAGACCAAACTCATTTTTTTTCCCATTGGTAACATACCACAGATAAACTCACTGGTTCATGCATTTGGTTACAGATCCATCAACTAACATGTTTTCTAATGCTTAGGAGAATTTGAAGACCCACAAGAAAAGAAACTATCGGTTAAGTGCCTTCTGGTACAAAGTTTGAGTAATTTATTTTATTTTATTTTTTTTTTTTTCATTTTTCTTTTATTATTCATATGTGCATACAAGGCTTGGTTCATTTCTCCCCCCTGCCCCCACCCGAGTAATTTATTTTTAAACGAAAGCTTTTATTATTAAAGTGATGTGTTCTTTTTGAGGAAGATACGAAATACAAAAAGCATGAAGGAGTTTCTAGGTATACTTGTCCCTGAGCAGTAACCATCGCAGTTCCTTGTATCTCCTTCTGAGAGTTTTTCTCTTCTTCTTTTTCTTTATTTAAACTAATGTGTGAATTTTACAATACTAAAATCTTACATAAATGTAGTTTTCATAATTTTACTATGAGACAAGGTCTCTGTGTGATCCAGGCTGGTCTTGAACTCCTGGGTTCAAGCAATCCTCCTGCCTCAGCCTTGTAGGTAGCCAGACTATAAGCCACCGCACCCAGCTAACAAATATTTACTTAGTGCTTTCTTCCTGGCCAAGGAAGTGCAGAGGGTTATCTAGTGGAAAGTGGCTTTCCTCACCTCCAAAGGGCAGGGGACTGAAACCATAGCAGCTAGGCTAACCCTGGTCTGACTGTGCACCTTAAAAGGTTGGTGATTTCATTCCTTCCTCTGTAGAGCAGAAATTCTTAATCTTTTTTTTAACCTTTGCCCACTTAGATATGGCAGCACACCCTTGAGGCCCACCTTCTCCCCACTTTCACTTTCTAGAAGAAAAACAACTCAGACTTAAAAGAAGATTGAAAAATAAAATAGAGTTGGTGGAGTGGCTCAAGTGGTAGAGTACCGCCTAGTTAGTGTGAAGCCCTGAGTTCAAACCTTAGTACCACACAAGAAAAATAAAAGAGAGAGAAAGAAAATAGAAATAAAATGCCAAAGTAATTCTATATATAAACTTTTAATTAATGTGAAAATAGACAATAACCCCAAAGCATAAACAACTCAGTACAGTACAAGTGATAAAATAGTTTACTTGGCAGATCTCTAGTAAGTAGTTAATTGTATGTAAAAATGATTATCTCTGGATTGAATTTGTGCCCATAAAAAATAAAGGCAGAACTTCCATTCTGAATCACATTCCAGCCTATCAGGAAATCCATAGACCAGCACAATGCCTAGGATATGTGTGAGGAAAGCACGCTCAGCACAGTGTTGAGTACATAGTCTGAAGAAAAGTATCAAAAGTGCCTTTTTTATTTCTCTTTTGGGATAATTTTTTAATTTCGTGTATTCTAGATATCTTGTATTTGTTGTGATTTAATGGTCATAAAAGGGCCGGGCACAGTGGTGCGAGCCTGTAATCCTAGCTACTCAGGAGACGGAAATCAGGAGGATCGCTGTTCAAGGCCAGCCCAGACAAAAAGTTTGTGAGACCCCCCCCTCCCCATCTCCATTGGCTGGGTGTGGTGGCTCACGCCTGTCATCCCAGCTGCAGGGAAGCATAGGTAGGAGGATCCTGGTCCAGGTCAGCCTGGGCGTAAAGCGAGACCTGATCTCAAAAACCAAAGCAAAAAAGGGCTGGCAGTGTGGCTCGAGCCGTGGAGTGCCTGCCTAACAAGCATGAGGACCTGAGTACCAAACCCCAGTGCCATGAGAAAGGAAAATGTCAGAAATTCATACTCATTCCTTTCCACCTCAGTGAGATGATTCGGACAGACCTAATGTTCCTATGGAGAAGCATTCATTCTGTCCTCTACAGAGGATGCTACTGTTAGAACCAGCTATCCCTCCCTCTATAAAAGGAGGAGAGAGAATTTGGCCCAGAAATACAAACAGTGGAAATATGATGTCACATTTTGCTAATCCAACCCATTTCCTAATTTCTTTTTCTTGCTAGGGCGACACCCCCCACTAAGAGTCAAACCAGCTGGACGCATTCTCTTTTGGCGGGGGAGGCAAACCTTTTTATGAACCCATTCCTGAAAGCTCCCCTCCCGCAGGAGCCGTGTCAGCACCCAACACCTCAGCAGGAGAGTCTGCTTCTCCAGCGGCAGGGCCTACAGCACCTTCTGGAATTGCACTGGCCACCACCTCTAGCAAGCTGGAAACTCCACCATCCAAGTTGGGAGAGCTTCTGTTCCCAAGTTCTCTGACTGGAGAAACACTAGGCAGCTTTTCTGGACTGCGAGTTGGCCAAGCTGAGGACTCTGCAAAGCCAACCAATAAGGTTTCATCCACGAACCTACCTAGTGCCCAGCCAGCCAAGCCTTCAAGCGTACCCTCCGGGTTTAGCTTTTCTAGCCCTCCAATGTTAGGAAAGCCTGTGGAGCCCCCTGTGACCTCCTCTGTGACTGCCACCACAGCAGCACCACCAGCAGCCAGCAGCACAAGCTCTGGCAGTTCTTCAACTGGGGTCTTTGGCACTCTGCCTTCACCAACACAGGACCTTCTGGGGCAATCAGTTTTGGTGGGACATCTCTGAGTGGTAACAAGGCTAGCTTTTCATTTGGAAGCCAACAGATCAGTAACACAGGGCCATCGCCTGCCCCCACACCAACCTCGACTGCCCCTTCCCTCCCAGCGCCGTTCCCCACCTTGTCATTTGGCAGCCTCCTGAGCTCAGCGCCTGCTCCCTCCCTGCCCATGTCTTCTGGAAAGAGCCCAGAGGAGGCCACATTATCAGCTGTGCCTGAGAAGTCAGGCCAGAGTGAGGCTTCAGCATCAACAGTCTCACTCGTATCCCCGCCACCATCAGCCCAGCTTCCTCAGGCTCCCTGCAAACTTCTGATGCTACTAAAAAGGAACCTATTCTTGTGCAGCCAACAGTTGGCAGCCCTGGCACGGCAGTATCTGCTACCAGTCTTGTGGCACCCTCTACAGAGAACACTTCAGCGGCTGCTGGGGGCCCTGACATCAAGACAGAGGCAGGTTCTCCTACTTCCATCTTTGCAGTGACTGGGCAGGTCACTGTTGAAGCAGCTACTCTCCCAGGTGTAGGCCCTGTGGCCATCGAAGTGTCAGGTGCCCCTACCACCTCCACCACTGTGTCCAGTAGTGCCCCAGGCCCTGTCACAGAGACTGCAGTGTTTGGGACTGTCACTTCTGGCTCATCAGTTCTTTCCTCAGCCACCTGCTGCCAGTTCTAGCTCAGCATTCAGCCAGCTCTCTGGCAACACAGCCACTGCCCCTTCCACTACCCCCATGTTTGGCCAGGTAGCAGCCAGCACTGCGCCAAGCCTGTTTGGGCAGCAGACAGGCAGCATAGCCAGCACAGCTGCCACCACACCACAGGCCAACAGCTCAGGGTTTGGCAGTCCCTCTTTTGGTACCTCAGCCCAGGGGTCTTCGGACAGGCAACTTTTGGGCAGGCCCCAGCCTTTGGGCAGGCAACCAGCAGCCCTGCAAGCAGCTTCTCCTTCAGTCAGCCTGGGTTCAGTTCCGGGCCTGCTTTTGGCCAGTCCGTCTCCTCCACCCCAACATCCACCAGTGGGAATGTCTTTGGTGCCTCCTCAACTACCAGTAGCTCCGGTTCCTTCTCATTTGGACAGTCTTCTGCCAACACAGGAGGGGGGCTGTTTGGCCAAAGCAACCCTCCTGCTTTTGGTCAGAGCCCTGGCTTTGGGCAGGGAGGCTCTGTGTTTGGTGGCCCCTCAGCCACCACCTCCACAGCAGCACCTTCGGGGTTTAGCTTTTGTCAAGCTTCAGGTAAGAATTTATAGAAGACTTTTACTTTATTCCCCTCTGTGCTATTTGAAACATTTGCAAGAAGCCTGTATTGCTTTTGTAATTTAAATAAAGAGAAAAGGAGCATAATCTGTAAGATTGAGAAGGAGCTTGGAGCATGTGCAGGCTTGGGATTTCTTTGACCTAATTGGCTGGATCTGCCACGACTCAAGAGTAGTTCTGGTTGTATTCAGCAAGTCTCTACTCTGCTAGCCACCAGACTGCTAAATTTATGAGTAAAAATTGAAGCATCTTTAGTTTCAAATCATGGCAAATAATTTACTGAGTCATAGCTATAAAATTTTAAATTTGGAAGGTTCTGTGCAGACCAATGTGTCTAAAACTGTCAAGCGTTGAGGAGATTGATCTCATATCAGATATAGTGCTGGTTGTAGAGCTGGAAAGAGAATCCAGACTCTTTCCTCTTTGTAGTTCACTACTCTCTGGGTATTTATTTCCTTTGCTGCCATCTTGCTTGTTGAAAAGTGGGTACTGCCAGTTGAAGAGTTGTGGTGTTTTCTACTTTCAGTATTCTAACTTAAAAAAAAAAGCTTTTAAATTTTACTATTTTGAAAGAAAAATAATGCTTCACTATTGTGTGCCCAATTTTAGCAGCTGCTTTATTTCTAAATGTTACTGGTAAACAGATCGATTTGAAAATCTAAACTTGGCCTTTCTGATGGTTCTCTTATAAAAGACAGTTCTTTTAACAATTAGGCTTTGGGGAAAAACAAAGATCAATGAATACTGATTAATTTCTTCAATAGCAATTTATTTGAAAATGGCTCATAATTTAATTAGAAAGGAAATATTTTCCTTCTTTCAATGAGTATTGAACTATAAGGACACAGTGGAGAAGACAGACCCAGCTTTGAGGTCCACCCAATGCCCTGAGGCCATCCAACATGCCATTTGTTTGGATGACGGAAATATGACTTGTTCCCCTGTATGGGCAGGTAGAAGACCCGAGTCTTAAAAGAGAACACTGTCTCTGTCTCTAGTGCATCGTTTGTTCTGCTGTCAGAATGCAAGAAAATCTCCTGCGCAGGCTTCAGCCAACCAATTCATCAAATTTGGAGCCCAGAAGGGGACTCCCTTTAGTTCTGTGTGGAAAGCAACCTGGGCTGTCTCCTCCAGCCCAGTTGAGGAACTGAGACTTGCATGAGCTCACCTGCCTAACCAGCAACAGGATGAGCATTAAACTCCTGCCTCCTACTCCTTGTCTTCAGCTCTTTTGTTATAATGAGTAGTTCTGCCTGACCTACCCTGGCCATGTTTAGCTCGGCATCTCCACCATTTTATGTCTCCTGGAAGGAAGATAAGCGATCCTGAAAGAGTCTGGGGTTTGAGGTGCAGAGGACCAGGGAGTAGAATTATTTAGAATGTTAGTTAGTGATCTGAAAAAATTCTTGGTGGCAAGACTGGGGAAAAGCTACTCTGAGAGTATGCCGTCTTACTAGTCCTACCTACTTGGTAGGAGAAAAGGGTTCCTTGGGACTTTGGAATTTATATTATAAAAGGTTAGCAATGAAGAAATGTCTTTTACAGTTAGCTCTCTGTTCTACAGATTTTTCATCTGTAGATGCAACCAATTGCAGATCAAAAGTAAATGGAAAAAATCTGTACTGAACATGTACAGACTTTTTCTCACCACTATTCCCTAAACACTATAGTAAAAAAACTATTCATGTAGCATTTACATTGCACTAGGCATTATAAGTAATCCACAGATAACTTAAAGTATATGGGAGGATTGTGTTAGTTATGCAAAAAAGGACACCATTTTATATGAGACTTTTGCATCTTCAGATTTTGGTATGCTGGTTTGGGGGAGGGGCAGGATCTGGAACCAATATCCTATGGATAGCATGGTACTCAGAATTTTCTCCATTTCCTTGATGGGGAAGCAGTTCGGTTTATAAGTTGACTTATTGTGGGGTAACTTAGCCTGCCTAAATGCCACTTTAAAAACATTTGTGTTATTAAAGACTCACCCAAATTGAACTTTTGTTTCTTTGTGTCTTACAGGTTTTGGGTCTAGTAATACTGGTTCTGTATTTGGTCAAGCAGCCAGTACTGGTGGAGCAGTCTTTGGCCAGGTAAATGTGTGTCATCTCTATTCATGTGACATCTGTCCATTTTCCCCGGGATAACATAATCAGCTTGTGCTGTGTATCCATATCCAGCAAGAGACTGTATAATGCTCAAGCTCCAGTTTCCTGCCTTGAGGATGCAGAGGTCTCCACCTTAGATTAGAGAGTCACAGGATTTTGGCCCTTCTTTGGCAGTCCTCTGGGAAAGGACTTGTGCCTGGCTTTGTCAATGTCCTGTTGGTTCTGTTAGGCCAAAGGTTGACAAGCCGCAACCTGTAGGCCTTGTTTTATTTAAAGTTCTTGAGCTAAGAATGTTCTTACATTTTTAAATGGTTGTTTGGGGATGGATGGAAGAATGTACAGCAGAGACCACATGTGGCCCTTGAGCTGAGCTGTCTACAGTCTCAGGCCTCCTTCTGGTAACCTGAACTTTTGTACTTTTATATGTAACAGCAGCATCTTTGCCCAGGCAGAGTTTTAAGTTCCTCATTCAGATAACTCTTATAATCATCTCAGCTTCTCTGCATGTAGGTGCTGTTATTATTACCCCCATTCAAAAAATGAAAACAGTGGGGATTCAGAGATTGTTTTACTCCAGCTGTACAGTGGCCACATAAGGACCCTATTTTTTCCTTTTTCCTTTGAAGAAGTGTCTGCCCTAGTCAGTGATCTTTCTTAGAGGGAAATGAAACTTTTGATTTTCAGTTTCTGGTAATGGAACCCTAAGTCATTCAAACTAAGTTCCCCACCAAAACCAACAAAAAATACAGATAAAACCTAGAAAACAATTTATTTATTTATTATTGGCGCTGGGTTTGAACTCAGGGCCTTGCATTGCTAGGCAAGATACTGCACCACTTGAGCCATGCCTCCAACCCCTTCTCCTTCCTCCCACCCCATTTTTTTTGTTTTTGTTTTTTCTTTTAGTTACCCTTCAGATAGGGTCTTGCATTTTTGCCTGGGGCTGGCTTAGAACAACCATGATCTGCCTACCTATAGCCTCCCAGGTAACTGAGATTATAAGCATGTACCACCAGGCCTGACTAACTTTTTGCTCAAGCTGGCCTCAAGCCAACATCCTTCGGCCTCCTGAGTAGCTGGAATTTCAGACATGAGCTCAGTGCCTGGCCTGGAAACCATATTTTTTTAAAGCATTGCTAAGCTAACAAAGTGTTCACCAAGCCAAATTTAAAAGAAAATGAGAACCTAAAGAAAGAAAGTGGAACACAGAAGCCTTTTCTGTCCCAAGGGCATTCACTGACCTGAGAAAATATGAATTTTTGTGTTTAAGAACCCCACAGGCAAAGGGACAGAAATTAATAAGATGTGTACAAGTTGAGGATTCCAAAAGAACCCGTACCCATAATAAACTGGAACTTCAGATTCATAGGGCTCAGCCTCTGCTAGTGACCTGATGTGGTAGTGCCTGCAGAGGTCTAGCAGAAGCAGCACAGACCTACTCTGGAGCAAAATTGCTTTATTCTGGGTCACATTACACTTACCAACAATCTTGAGGACATGGATTCCCACAGCAAATTAGCCACATAAGGAAATCAGGAACTATATGAGCAAGAGTCAGAATAAGCATCAGATATGGATTTGCAGAGACTATTGGACTACTACTTTCTAAGGAGCCATAGTTGGATCGACAGTTGATTTCTCACAGTGAAGAAAGCCAGAAGACAGTCTGTCTACATGGAATTTCTAAGCCAGTAGAAAATATCTTCACAGAATGGGGTGAAATCAAGACAGTTTTTTTAAGATAAATCCTGAGAGAATTCATGTCTAGCCACATCTGAAGCAAATTATAACAGGATATTTTTTCAAGAGAAGGAAAATTTGACCTTTCCAGCATGATGGTGGCTTTCTTAATTTTAGGTAAAACAAGCCATGAAATAGGAACATTGTAGCCTATATTACTGTCAGAGTATTTGTATTCAGAATATCTAATGAATTCCTACAGATAAAAAAGAAAGCCAAAATGGCTGAAATTAAGGGGTAAGAGAATATCTAATGAATTCCTACAGATAAAAAAGAAAGCCAAAATGGCTGAAATTAAGAGGTAAGAGTACTAAGTGTTGAGGAAGCACAGAAGCTGCAAACTCTCGTGTGTTGTAGCACTGTCAGTTCAGATAACCACTTGGGAAACCAAATGTATACAAGTCCTTGCTGACCCATCAGATCTGCTCTGGGTATGTACCCAAGAAAAGTGAGTGACTTTCTTCATCAAAAGAAAGGATAAAAGTATCATAGCATCGTATTCATAATAGCCAAAAGCAAGAAACAACCAAATCTTACAGATTATAGATTCATAAATTGTGTTTTCTATAATGGAAAACTACACAGCACTGAAATGTGATGTGCTGCTCCTACACAAAAAAGGGGATGGTTTCCAGACCTAGTGGCAGGTGAGAGAAGCTGGCAACTAGAGAACTTATTGTAGGACTGCATTGACTCACGGGGTCAAGGACAGGCAAACGCGTCCCTGAGGTGATAGTCAGAATAGCACTGACTGTAGGACAATATAAATGAGGCATGAGGGAGCCTTGAAAACACTGAAAATGTTTGCTATCTTGAACATTGAACGTGCACACTGTTGTAATCATCAAGATTCATTAAACCTGACCCATCAGATCTGCTCTGGGTATGTACCAAGAAAAGTGAGTGACTTTCTTCATCAAAAGAAAGGGATAAAAGTATCATAGCATCGTATTCATTAATAGCCAAAAGCAAGAAACAACCAAATCTTACAGATTAAGATTCATAAATTGTGTTTTCTATAATGGAAAACTACACAGCACTGAATGTGATGTGCTGCTCCTACACAAAATAAAGGGGATGGTTTCCAAGACCTAGTGGCAGGTGAGAGAAGCTGGCAACTAGAGAACTTATTGTAGGACTGCATTGACTCACGGGGTCAAGGACAGGCAAACGCGTCCCTGAGGTGATAGTCAGAATAGCACTGACTGTAGGACAATATAAATGAGGCATGAGGGAGCCTTGAAAACACTGAAAATGTTTGCTATCTTGAACATTGAACGTGCACACTGTTGTAATCATCAAGATTCATTAAACTGCCACATAGTTTGTGAACTTAATTAAAAAATAGTAAGAAGAAAATAGACAAAAGACAATTCATAAAAGAAGGTGTTGCCAGATGTGGAGGCACATACCTGTAATCCCAGCACTGGGAAAAGCAGAGGTAGTAGGATCAAAAGTTCAAGGCTGACCTGGGCTAGATAGGGGAGCAAAACAAAAAACTAGTAAGCTTTATGTGGTATATATTTTACCACAATGAAAGGAAAGAAGGGAAAGAGGGAGGAAAGAAGAAAGGGTTGAAAGTAAAAAAAGGAAGGCAGGCCTGAAATGCAGAAAGAACTTGTGTGGTCTTGCTTTCTCCATTACCCACGTCTGTTGAATGTAAAGGTGGTAACTTCAGCCCATTTCCCCCTCCCCCCCAGGCTCAGACATTCAAAAGACAGATGCTGTAAACCCTAGGGAGACAGTTTGAAGCTGGCAGGAGGTGAGCTCACTGTCCTGGTGGCAGTTGCAGAACAGCAGCCCCAGTGAACTCTGAAGCTCCAAGTAACAGAGCTCTCATTCCCTGGGAAAGCACAGCTGACCTAGTCACCACTGTTCCTCTAGATGCAAAGCCCAGTATGCAAAAAAAAAAGAAATTTACAAATCAACCGAAAGGTTGGGGTGGGGGAGGGAGGCTGTAAACAGATTGCAAAAATCAACCTACAGATAATCTAGATAGAACCTCAAGAACCTCAAGAGACAAACACTTTACCTGCTGTGCTCCAGGATTTACAGGAACTACTGAAAGAGTGACTGAATGTGACATCTTAGCAGAGAAGTGAAATTTTAAAAAGTTTGAAATAAAGTATCTGTAGTAAAAAATAATTAGAAAAGCTTAACAGCATGGGTACTACAGGAGAACTGTGAACTTCCTGTGCATTTTTTAGATTTTTCTATCAAGTTTTAAGTTTTTTTATTTTTCTTTTGCCATAATGGAGTTTGTGAACTCAGGTCTTTGCACTTGTTAGGCAGGTGCTCACTGCTTGAGCCACACCCCTTACCCCCTTTTGCTTTAGTTATTTTTTTAATAGGGTCTCAAATTTATGCCCAGCTGGCCTGCTCTGTGATCCTCCTATTTTGCTTGGGCCACCGTGTACACGCCCAGCTTTGAGGGCCTCAAACCATGATCCTCCTGATCTTTGCTCCCAAAATAGCTGCGATTATAGGCATGAGCCACCTTGTCCAGCATAAGAACTTTTATTTCAGTTAACATGAATGGAATTCTTTCTCACTCACTTATGAGGATGCAGTAACTATCAGTTTACCTTCATCTCAGTGACGTGTGTTAAGTGTTCACCTGTACTGGCGGTGTGATTGCCAGATTAGGCTGAGCCACCTGGAAGTGTTGGTTTTGTTGGGGTCAAAAGCCCACCACACTCTTTTAAAGTAGGTTTATTTCTTAGTCTTTAGTTCACTTACCATTGAGGTAGGCCATTTTGTTACCCATTTTACAGAGGAGGATGACAGCATCATTTTGCCCTCTTGGAAGGGAGCCCTGTCAGAGTCCTCTGCACAGCAGCCCATTTCTAAAGCTGTCTTATTCTGCATTATCAACTGAGATGTCAACCTCACTAATGTGAAACAACCCCTCACATCTACTGGTTGTCCTTTTCCGGAGTTCAGTAGCTCTGAGTCAGCCTGTGCCTTGGGTTAGCAGCACCTTGGAACATAAGCTTCATCATTTCACAGTGGCACTAATATGACTTTTTTCTACAGCCCTGGGAAAGACTTTATGAATTGAAAGTGCACAAATTGAGAGAATGACTAAATCCCTTGTCTTATCAGTTGGTGATTTCAGCCAGGACACTAGAGGAATCAGAATAAATGGTGCGTGATAGCTTCTAAATGTTCTCAAACTTTTTTATCGGTAATCTTTTGTGGGATTGGTTTTCCTGCCCCTGGCATTGTGTCAGACAGACACTGCAGGCAATAGGGCAGATAATGTTGAAGTTCCCACCAAACCATGCATTAACCTGAGAACTGTGACTTTTAGGAAGTTCAGCTTCTCCTGGGTTGTATGAGCATCCCTTCCAGAGCTAATAAGAGTACTCTTGTTTTCCATTTGTACCCTCTGTGAGCAGCTCCTGCCCACAGATGCCTGTCGCTTTATGATGATTCTCATCCTATCTTTTTCTGCCCCTTGTGTTTTTAGCAGTCATCCACTTCCAGTGGTAGTGTGTTTGGGTCTACAAAACTGGAAGAGGGGGAGGTTTCTTCAGTGGCCTGGAGGGAAAACCCAGCCAGGATGCAGCCAACAAAACCCATTCAGCTCTGCCAGCGGGGGCTTTGGATCTACAGCCACTCCAAGTAAGTTAGATGTTTTCCTAGCCATCAGTCCCTAATGACATTGTCATCCTCATGGTGTTGTCAAAGCTTCAGGGAATGAACGTTAAGAGGTGGGATGGCTTCTAGAAGGCTCATTCAAAATCCTACCCCAAGCAGAGTGATCTGGTTTTGCTTTGTTTTTAATGAGGTGTCCTGTATAATCATGAAAAGACATCAGAGCTACAGAGGGAGGACCAATGTACTGAACTGCTCCTGTCTTCTCTCCCAAGACCCAGATCTCTGTTTCTTGGTATTGAGATGCCTTGAAGCAAATGCAAGCAGATAGCAGAAGAGAGCCTCACACAACAAGGGCAGCTTTCATCTGCATAACACTTTCTGCATTTGCTTTGAAATTCAGCTATGGTAGAGTTGAAGCCTTTAGTATTTCTCATCTGTTACATTTGTGCTTTCTTTTCATCTGAAGCTGTATCTGTTAGCACTTCTAGCTAATTTTTCAAATTCTTTGTTGATCTGTCTATTCATGGTCGGAAATGAAGGAAATTTGTTTAAACTTTTAAAAAATACATATTCTGCTGCTGATGGAGGCTAAGATTGGAAGTTGGGCCCCTCTCATCTTCATCATAGCTTCTGTCATTTAATGTGCTACTTACCCAGCATGTCTTACTATTGTGCTGTTGGAAGTCTTGATGAATCGTGAGTTGATGTCCTTCGTCATGGTAAATGTTTCCCTAATATTAGGCCTATTGAGTTAAAGTGAAACTTTCTGTCCTGATTTTCTATGCTGTACTTATTGATCAAGAACTAGTTATTTTGATGTCACTGTCCATTCCAGTGACATATAAGGAAAGGTTCATGTCTGTTGAGATTTATGTCTCTTAACTCATGAAGTTATGCTGTCAGTAATTTTTGTTCTTCAACTCTTAGTCTGGGAGGAGGAATTTAGAACCATAGAATGAAGGGATGTTAGAAATCAAATCTAATAGTTTTCAAAAACTGTTTTTGCAGATAAACTCTTAAGCAGAACCCTGATAAGGAAAAATAAAAGAGGATTCACACTGAAGAAGGGGTGAAAAATCCAGAGATACACATGAATAGTTTCCCCCACCTATCACCTAGGACTGAAAGGCACCATATAGCATATACAGAAAGCACAGTCCTTTAAAATCAAAGCCAGAAAGTGGCACATCTAGGACTCAGCTAGATTGCATTTAACATGCCAAACATACCATCTGGCACAGAGCAGTCACTTGATAGCATGCTGGTTAGAAATTGGGCTCATCCCAGATACAAGTTATCATCTGTAAGGTATTACTAGCCAATTTTGTGAACAACCTAGGTGTGTCGTATCCCTGTAAAAATGCTCTTCTTCCTGGTCCGTTAATCTTTAATGCCATGGATCTTAACGGTCAGAGTGGCTTTCTCAAAGGTCAGTGGGTGCCAGCATGCACCAGCTCACAAGAGCCAGCTGTGAATATCCCCTCCCAAGATCTCATTGGAGAGCCTAAAATCATCAGGAGTGGAGTGTTCATTCCATGGAAATCTGAAAGGACTGTACACCAGACCTGCTCCTGTCTCCAGACTTGTTAAACAGGCACTGGCACACCATTGTTTCTAATTAATTCAGATTTAAAGCAAGTAGGTATCTGTTCTTTTTTTTTTTTTTTTTTTTTTTTTTTTTTTTTTTTTGGTTTAAAGATGTGACTTTTCTTTTTTTTTTTTTCATTTTTCTTTTATTATTCATATGTGCATACAAGGCTTGGTTCATTTCTCCCCCTGCCCCCACCCCCTCCCTATACCACCCACTCCACCCTCTCCCGCTCCCCCCCTCAATACCCAGCAAACTATTTTGCCCTTATCTCTAATTTTGTTGGTAGAGAGAGTATAAGCAATAATAGGAAGGAACAAGGGGTTTTGCTGGTTGAGATAAGGATAGCTATACAGGGCATTGACTCACATTGATTTCCTGTGTGTGGTTTACCTTCTAGGTTAATTCTTTTTGATCTAACCTTTTCTCTAGTTCCTGGTCCCCTTTTCTATTGGCCTCAGTTGCTTTAAGGTATCTGCTTTAGTTTCTCTGCGTTTAAGGGCAACAAATGCTAGCTAGTTTTTTAGGTGTCTTACCTATCCTCACCCCTCCCTTGTGTGCTCTCGCTTTTATCATGTGCTCATAGTCCAATCCCCTTGTTGTGTTTGCCCTTGATCTAAGGTGGGTGATGTCAGACACCCACTGATCTTTATCTCCTAGTGTTGACTTTTCTCTCTCTCTCTGTGTGTGTGTGTGTGTGTGTGTGTGTGTGGTATTGGGGTTTAAACTTGGGGCCTCATACTTTCTAGGTAGTCATGCTACCACTTGAACCACTCTCCCAGCCCTTTTTTATGTTGAGTATTTTTGAGATAGGGTCTAGCAAACTATTTGCACAGGCTGGTTTTGAACCTCAGTCCTCCTGATCACTGCCTCCTGAGTAGCTAGGATTGCAAGCGTGAACCACCAGTGCTCGGTTCTGATGTTGACTTTTAATTGTAATCCAACAATTTACATTTATGCATAAAGGAAGAAGTTTAAGTGAATTTGAAGAGATAAAGGAAAGACTTTATTTTTAAAAATCAGAATTCAGTGATGAAAGGGACAGATGTCTCTTTAACCCTGGGACCAAGTGCAGGCTAAGGAGAGCAGTGGAGGGGAGGAGGAGGGGAAGTCAGAGGAAAGGACATTGTCCTTGCTGCAATACCTCATGCATTCTGCACAAGCACCAGTGGCAGCTTTTCTCTGTGGTGACTCCACATCATTTAATACTTCTGAGCGCCACTGCTGTCCTGGGCTCTCTGAAGGCGTGCTCCTGGCTCCATCCTGCCCTGCACACAATTTCTTCTTTCCATAACAATGAGCTGTGCTTCCTGCTTGCCTCCTAGCTGTGACAGGAGTCTGCACCCTACTCACCCCTCCCACCCTATAATCTAACTCCTTATGGTCAGGAATCCATCCCAAATCAAGTATTTTTAAACTATTGGGGTTTTTTTTGGAGGAGGGGAGCTAGGGTTGAACTTGGGTCTTCACGTTTGCATAGCAGACACTCTACCACTTGAGCCCCTCCTCCAGTCCTTAAACCAATTTTGTTTTGCCATTGTTCCTCCTTAGAGCCCTGTGGCAGCTTCCTACCGACTGGAGGATAAAGTCCAAGCCAACTTTAGCCTGGGTCCGGGCCCCAGTGAGCAGGCCCAGCACATCTCTCTGACTTTGATCAGCTCCCAGCCCTCTCCTGCTTTAGTCAGTTGTCAGGTGCTGTCCTCATACAAGCGCCCTCACTCTTCCTCATGTCTTGCCTAGCCCCACCTCCCCCTCCCCTCCTCTGAGCCTCCCTTCCTGCAGGAGGAAGGAAGACTGCTTCTCCCATGCCCGTGCTGACTGCTCCCTCTGGAAATCTGCAACCATTGCAGCTCATTGCTCTGCAGAATGAGCAGCAGGAAGGAGCTAACGCAACAGTCTACCGCCACATGCCAGAGCCAGTCACATCTTAAAGTGGTGCCTTAGATGTGGCTGTCCCCATCTTATCAATAAGGATTTGATCCTAAGAAGAAAGGTGTCTGCAGAGGTTACATAAGTACTAAGTGGCATCGCCAGAACTTAGTAGTCAGGGTTTCCCAAGCCCTGCCTCTCCCCTGCCTGACAGTTCTGTGTGGCATGGAACACACTCGCTTGCAGGTGGGTATCTGAGTACAGATTGGGGGATAGTGATAGTTATGCCATAGGCTGCCTGGTCCTGAAGCTGCCCTCTTTAGTCTTGAGAACTTTTGAGAACTGTGGCCATGACCACAAAAGATAATCTGGTACAGTCATTGTGTAGAGTTGGCATGCTCTGTATCCAGAGCTGGAATCTTGTCAGAGACTCTACCAAAGATAGCCCTGGAGTCATTTAAAATTCACCACCTCTGTGCACTGTTGCCCAGAAGGACCTATTGTCTCCTGAGTCTTGTCCTGAGGACACTATTTACCAACATTCTGTGCACATTCTTTCTCTTCAGGGACCTGAAAGACTTATGTGTGTAGGGATGAGGAAGCCATTTGATGATCACCTTTGAGGCCCCTAGGCTCCTTCCACAGCTGTTCTTTAGGAGGATGTCTTTGAAAGGGTCTTGGACAGGATTTATAAGAGCCCTTTCTGAGGGCTCGTTGAGTGCTTTTGTTTTCTTTTGTTTTTTGTTGTTGTTAGTGTATATTAATGATACAAAGAGGTTTCATTGTGGTGTTTTCATATATGCATATAATGTACTTGGACCAAGCTCACCTCTCTGTTACTCTTTCTTATCCCCTCTGCCTCCTGATCTAAACAGTTTTAACAGGTTTCACTGTTCTGTTTTCATACATGTATATAAAGTACTTCAGTCATACTCACCATTCTCACCCTCTCTTTTTGCCTTCCCTTTTTCCACTGGTTCCCACCCCAAAACAGTCACCATTTTACATTCCTGTCATTCTGTCATTCATTTTTTCAGATCTAGATTCCATATATGAGAGAGACGATGAGATTTGTCTTTCTCCATGTGGCTTACTTTGCTTTACATGATGATCTCCAGTGTCATCCATTTTCCTACAAACAACATAATTTCATTCTCTTTATGGCTGAATAATACTCCACTGTGTGTATATAAACCACATTTTCTTTATCCACTTGTGTCTACATTGAGTTCTTGTTAGTTATTTCATACCTGCTGAAAGACATAGAACCTGTTCTCTGTGAACTTTTTGCATCAAATTCAGATATGGTGGAGCACACCTGTACTTGGGAAGTGGAAATAAGAGGATTGTGGTCTGAGGCCAGCCCAGGCAAAAGCTCCAGACCCTATCTCAAAAACAAACTAAAATAAAAAGGGCTGGGGGCATGGCTCAAGTAGTAGAGCACCTGCCTAGCAAGCACAGGGCCCCATGCTCAAAAACCAGTATCTCAAAAAAAAAATTAATTTAGGGTGGGTCAGATCCTGCTGCTGGATTATGCTTATGTTTTTGCCAAATAAAGAGGCCAAAGAGGATCTAAGTTGTGCCAGCAGGTAGAAGCCAGCATTGTACCTGCACTTGTTATCCCCAAAAAGTGAGTCCTCAGATGGCCCTGCAAAGACAAACTTTGTTTTCTTACTAGCTAATTTTTTCACAAGTGAGGAATCTTCACAATGAAGTATTGTTCCATCAACCAAGATTTCCTCTTACCATGTTTTTAAGAACTACATTAGGAGAGAACTGAGAAACAACTGGAGTTTAGAGATGGAGAGACACATGTGTCCTGTACCGCCATTTCGGAGTAGCTGGAATGAGGGTCGCATATCTCATCACATGGCAACTGCCATGTCAGTGCTGTCATTTGGTGGGAGGTCTTTGCTAAATGGAAAGCACTTGGTTGTCGATCTGCTCTGTGTGTTAATCTGTTGATCGTGATTGAGGTTTAGGGAAGAGGAGGAGAAAGGGCAAAGAAGTGTCTTTCAGAGTCTGCATGCCATATGTTAGCTGGGTGTTCCGCATTCACCTAATCTTTCTCTCTTTTTTTTTTTTTTTTTTTTTTTTTGCAGCATTGGGGTTTGAACTCAGTGCTCCGGCTTGCTAGGCAGGCAAGCACTGGAGCCACTCCGCCAGCCCATCTTTTTTTTTTTTTTTGGTGGCACTGGAGATTGAACTCAGAGCCTCATGCATGCGAGGCAAACACTAAACCACTGAGCTATATCCCCATCTAGCCCATCTTTCTTTTCTTTTTTTTCCAGCTTTCTCAGTACTGAGGATTGAACTCAAGGCCTTATTACGCTTGTTAGGCAAGTGCTCTACCACTTGACCATGTTCTGGTCGCTGGTGCCCCACACTCTTCCCAGCCACCTTCCATAATACAAATTATTGTCACTTTGTTGTGTCAGGGAACTAGGACTTGGGGAACTCCTTGCTCAAGGTAACACAGCTGTTAGGTAATCTAACCCAGGCTGCAAACATCAGTTTTGTTCCACTATAATGTGGGACAAATATCTTCAAGACAAAGCCTCTTCCTTCGTAGCTAATTCCATAAAAATTGTATCTGTGTAAGGTATGCCATGTGATGTCACCATGTATGTTCACATCGTGTCACGTTCCACTCGGTAAACATGTCTCTGAAACACCACTTTTGAATGGTAAAAACACTTAAGACCCTTTCTTACAGCTTTTAAAAAAATAAACTACATATCATTATCTATGTTACCTTACTATGCAATAGAATATCAGAACTTCTTCCTTCTAATTGTATCTTAATACCTGTTAATCAACTCTTCCCCATCCCTCTTCTGCTCTCCTCAGCCTCTAGTAAGCAGCATTCTCCCATCTTCTCTGAGATCTACCTTTGTAGATTGCACAAATGAGTGAGATCAAGCCGTTCCTGTCTTTCTTGGCCGAGCTTATTCCACTTACCATGGCAGTCTCCAGATCCATTCATGTTGTTGCACATGACAGTATGGTATTCCATTGTGTATATCTACCACATGTTCTTTATTCACTCCTCAGTTGATGGACACCTGCATTGTTTTCATTTGTTGGCTTTGTGAGCAGTGCTACAATTAAACTTGGGTGTATAGCCATCTCTCTAATGAGCTGACTTAATTTAACAAAGGATTCTTAAAGAGAGAAAAGGATAAAATCCAAAAACTTCAAAATGGTCTCTGACTTCTCACAGATTTAAGTCTCCCAACATGGTCCCAGTAGAATTTTGTCTCTCATTTCATGTGGTTGCACCAAATTTCTCTGAGAGGAGATCACACCTCTAATCTAGTACTTGAATTTGTTATTTGGAATTTTGTATTGCTAGCACTATAAGGTCAGGAAATTGCAACCCTAGGTTCTTAGCTTAGAAGCCCACATTTCCCTTCCAGTGCCAAATGTGTTTCCCTTGAAGGAATTAAGCCTGACCTTGGGCTCACTCATTAAGGGAAAGTCAGACTGCTCAGAGGGCATTTTGCAGATTCCACTGGGGGTAACAGTCCAGTGGTACTAAATAGTAGGGAGACTCTAATGGAAGAACGCCTGCCTAGCAAGCATGAAACCCTGTGTTCAAGCCCCAGTACTGCCAAAATGAAAGAAAAAAAGGACAGGGTCCTACCATTCCCAGTGTCAGTCCCTTACCAGGCCCTCATGGTCAGCAGTGGTTTTCAGAGCACTGATAATGCTGTGGAGTGCCTGATATTATGTAATTGGTCCCTAACAATTTGAGGTGGCCATGTCCCTGACGTGACTCCACTCACTTCCCAGATTGACTCTTAGGAGTGTCGCAGTGAGATTACTAACAGAGTGGGACGAGAGACTGAGGGACTTGGCAGGTTGGGGTGGGCCCCCTTCCAACAGTTCAACTTTGAAAATGACTGTGAGTGTATTTGGGTGGCCACCTCATTTCCAGACAGCTTCTCCCTGCCTCATTATGGGCGCACACTAATTTTATAAAACTCCCACCCAAACATGGTGAGGAAACCTGAGTTATTACCAGTGCTACTCCCCAAAAAGAAGTTAAAGAAAAAATGTGGTGTGCTGTTTGTATTGGCTCAGTAACTGCATCTGTATGTGTGGCTTTGGCTACTTATATATTGTCTGCCAGTCTTGCTCTTCTTGTAACAAATAAAAGAGCCTCTCACTCATCTTAAGTTTTAGTAGTTTCCTTTTTCTATTCAGTTCTTAGAGCAGATCAGCACATGGCTGAAGGAAGAAGTGATCCCAGTAGATAATCCTCTAAAAGGTCAAGGGCTTCACTGAATCTCTTAGAAAGAGGAAGTGAGACTGGGAGCCTCACTGGCCTTTTGTTCTGCAGAACATCCCTTGTTCCATCAGACCAGAGCTCGGACCACCAGGACTTCCCTCACCGTCCTGCCATTTTCTGCACAACTCAGGCAATAGCAAGCATGCTAGAAGCTGCTGTGCTTGATTGGGATTTGTTCAAACTTTGATTTCCCTACTTTAACAAAACTTGAAACTAGTCTTCATACCAAGAGACTGATGAAAGCTGGCAGCCTGGGGAGTGAGCTACTAGTCCTGAGGCCTCTGGGAGCCTGGGGTGGGGGTTGAGGGTCCTTCAACAGAACCTCTTCAGTGGGGCCTCTTCTGTCCCTTTAGTTTATGTGTGTAGAAGTATGCCAGGAAGTCCTGAGCTCAGGTGCCAAAATGATTACAAACTTACTGTCAGCGTACATGAAAATCTGAGGCAATCTGTTATAACTGAGCTCCCCCAGATCTTAGGCTGCTGTGTAACTCTTGTCTTCTCAGACACTTGGCTGCGGTATCTCACTTCTGTCTTCTGAGAAGTAACTTAAGGACACTTCTCTCCCATGGAAGTCCCTCACATGTTCTTTGTTCCTTCAGATACCTCCAACCTGTTTGGAAACAGTGGGGCCAAGACATTCGGAGGATTTGCCAGCTCATCCTTTGGAGAACAAAAACCTGCTGGCACTTTCAGTTCTGGAGGCGGAAGTGTGGCATCCCAAGGCTTCGGGTTTTCCACTCCCAATAAAACAGGTACCCACACAGGACTTACTGTTCTCTTTAGATGTGTGTTTGTTTATGGAAGATGTCCCTGGGGTGTTCTCTCAAGAGAGTGGGATTGGAGTATGGAAGAATTACTTTGTTCTGTAGTTCATCCTCATGTTCACTGAGCATCTGCTTCATTCCTGACACTGAGATATCCCAAACTGGACAGAATGTATATAATGCAGCTCTTAAGGAAATTACTTCTTAAGAAAGAAAACATTGTAAGTATTTAACAATGCAAAACAACCAAAGTGAGGGGATGAATCAGTGAGTGGTAACTGAAGCATACCCAAGAAGTCTGAGTTGTAGACTTGTATGGTCAGGACAGATACTGTGCTTAATTTCTTATGTCTACATCATTTTACCCTCTTTCCCAAATTTGTTAACTTCCAATTGAAATATAATACATGTGTATGTGTTGTGTATGCATGTCTGAATATCTTATGTGCACACACCATGCTCATAGCTGCACAGCTCAGTTAATTCTCACACTTGAAATACATTAGCACCTTTTTTTTTTTTTTTTTTTTTTTTTGTGGTGCTGGCATTTGAACTCAGGCCTACACTTTGAGTCACTCCACCAACCCTTTTTTGTGAAGGGTTTTTTTGAGATAGGGTCTCCCAAAATATTTACCCAGGCTGGCTTGGAACTATAATCCTCCTGATCTCTGCCTCCTGAGCAGCTGGGATTATAGGCATGAGCCATTGGCAGCAGCACTATTTTTTTCCCATTGTAACCTTTTTTGCAGTACTGGGGCTTGAACTCAGGGCCCTCACCTAGAGCCACTCCACCAGCCCTTTTTGTGTTAGGTATTTTTGAGATAGAGTGTCAAGAACTATTTGCCCGGGCTGGCTTTGATCCAAAGTCTCCCTCATCTCTGCCTCCTGAGCAGCTAGGATTGCAGGCATGAGCCACCAACAATTGGCTCTAGCATAACCTTTAAGTGTACATCTATACACTATATGTTTTTGCAATCATCAACTACACATTTATAATTAATAATCTTAAAGAACAATATGTATTTAGAGATAAAAACAGTATTTCATTTTTGTTTATCTCTGAGGTCTGCAGGTCTTCACTGTGTCCCTGTTGGTGGGACAGTGAGGGCAGGTGGAGATTGCTGTTTGCTGAGAAAACCCCCAGTGTTTAAGTGGGCAGGAGACTTCACCCTCAGACCTAGGGATGTTTTAAATGGGAGCCTGTCTGAGGACTAACCAGATGCCTAAGTGGCTCTGACCAAGGAGCGGGCCTCCCAAAATTAGAAGATGGACTCTTGCCTTTGAAGTGTTGTTCCCAGATGCACTGTGCACCTGTCCTCGGACCATGGCTTAGTAGCCTGGTCTTAAGTTAGAAGTAGTTAACTCTTTCTAGAATTTAGAAGGGCTAGTAATGGATTTGGAGAAATACACACAATGAATGGTTTTAAATGAGATAGCCACAAAGCTTTTGACACTAGTTAAAAAGGCAAATATGAACCTTTAAAAACTTAGTTTGCTAGCCATCAAGCCTTCTTGCTTTTTTTGGTGGCGGGGGCAGGGAGCAAGTATTGGGGTTTGAATTCAGGTTCTTGCACTTACTAGTCACATGTTCTACCACTTGAACCATGTCTCCACTCCAAGCCTAACTTTTTTAGGAACCTGGCAATGTTTTCTTCCCTTTTCTGTTGTGTGTGGTTCCTTTTCCTGGAGTCATGTGCCACTTAATCTGAGACTCTGACCCTTAATCTTTTTAATCTTAGAAAACATGTATCCTCCACTCTTTTGAAGTATTTTCCCTAGTTGATGAAACCACCTAGACTGAGAACTACCTTTCAAACATAAGCATAAGGAAATGGGGAGAAGGACCTCTGCCCTGTGTTTCAGGAACACTGTGCTCAATCTGCTACAAAACTTGCACGGTTTTTAGAGAGTTGCTGCTCCCAAGAATGGAGTCATAGAGTGGGGCAGAAGACAGAACTGCTTCAGTTAGAAAGCCAGGCTCATGGTGAGTCTTGGGTTCCATCCCAGCACCTAAATACATACATACATACATACATACATAGAAGCAAATAGGAGCTAAATCTTCTTGCCTGGGTGATGTAGATGCCAAAGGCATCAAGATTATCTCTTCTTGCCTTAAGAGGGATTTTAAGGGCTGGTGGAATGACTCAAGTTGTAACACACCTACCTAGCAAATGTGAATCCCTGACTTCAGCCCCCCTACCTCAAAAAAAAAAAAAAAAGAAATGGGGGAGGGTGTTTAGGTTGATATTTTGATGGAGCTTTGAAAATTCCAGAAGTATCTAAACTGCCTTCCTTAAACTGCTAGCAGTTAAGAGGAGAGCACAGAAGGTGGCACAGACTGACCATGGCCTCCCTGCCAGCTCGGCCCTGGGTCTGCACCCTTGCCTCACCACCAGAGGGTTAGACACAGTGATGTTGGGGGTGGGTGGTGATGGTAAGATGACAGGTGTTTTTGGAATCACAACTCCACTAGCTACCACCTGGCTAAAATTAGACAGTGTCCTCAGTGTGGGGAAGGGTCCCCGCCTTGTTGGGAGGATTCAGGGAACTGTTGCAAAGGTCCTAGCACAGAGTGGCCCTGAAGAACTCAGAGGTCTTACCCTTGCTGGTTAATAGTGAACTTTGCTTCTTCTGGACAGGAAAATCAATATGTCATCTAATAAAATTGAACTCCTCCTACTAATAGGAATGAGTTGTCTGACTCTAAAACTAAGACCAGAGTAACTTTTCTTTTCCTGCTTCATTTGGGTATGACCCAGGTTTATTGTTTCAGGCCATTTTCTGTGTGAGAGAGAGTGGGGGAGTTTTTAACCTCCTCCCCCCTGTCCAGTTTACTTTCTATATCATTGTGACTTCTCATTTTTCACTCACCTTCCACAAGAAGTCTAAACAGTATTGAGTACAGGCACTAGATAAAGCCCTGTGTGTCTAAGAAGAAAATGTAACTAGACCTGTGATCAGTCTTAAATAATTCAACTGCAAGGGTTTTTCGGTACCCTTTTTTTTTTTTTTTTTTTTTTTTTACCCAGACTGTTATATTTGTGATCCACCAATCTCTATTATCATGGCTTGGAATTTCACTCAAGGTTTTAGAATGCAGAATGTTAACCCAAACATGAGCCTTAGTTAAAGTATCTTTTCAGTTGAGCAGCCACCACTGATGGTAAATGAGCATATAATTAAATCACAAAATAACAGTAAATTGGAGAATTCACTAGACAACTTTTCATAACCCAGTATTTGATCTTTCCTGGTTCTGGCAAAAGGTGGTGGTGTGATTACTTTTATAAGAGGGCCAGGGGCTAGGGACATGGCTCAAGTGGTAGAGCACCTGTCTATCAAGTGCAAGGCCCTGAATTCAAACCCCAGTATCACCCAAGGAAAAAAAAAAGATTCATTCCTCTAATAGCAGCTTTGCTTTCTGAAAGAGGAGAGAATAATATCCCTGCCTACTTAGACTGATCATATTCATGGTGGTCACTAGGCCCTATCAGTCCTCTTAGAATGTAGTTCAAGGCCAACATTCTTCTAAGACGTGCTCCATACAGTGTGGAGGGACACCCCTGAGAACACATTCCTGACACCTTTGTCTCCACTCAGCTCTGCAGCATTCTAGAGGTGTAGGAAACCCTCAGAGCAGAAGTAGCTCAGGAAGGGACATCCCCTCTCCTGCCTGGTGGGCTTCATCACCAGTCAGTAGAGGCTGTCTCATGCAGGACCTGACCCTCTCTGGGGGAGTCACCTGTATATCGTGTGGCCCCAGCCAGCTGTGGCCACTGAGCTACAGCAGCCGTTGCCTGAAGTCTTCTAAGCACTTAGGCCACCCTCACAGTTGACTTATCCTTGACTAAGTTCATACTGCAGCCTTCCTCCACAGAAATTCAGTGTGCTTTTTATTGAGTGGTTTCAAACTACAGAAAGAAAGCAGTTTAAAAAATTGTTCTGTACCAAGAAAGAGGGACACTAGTGAGAGATGTATAGCCAGCCACCAGGCTGTAAATAAATAAAAAGCATCTGGCTAGGTGCCAGTGTGTACATCACTCTGCCTCTGCTGGACCCTGTTCATAGGTTCTGGCAGGGAGGGGGCTTTGAGCTTCCAATTTTATAATTTGGGTTCCCTTGACGCTCAGAGCCTGGCCTGTATAGTAATGAATAATAAAACCTGTCAGCTTGTGACCACTGGGCTGAAACTGGACCTTTTGAGGACTGTTTTAGTAGGGAGTCCTAAACAGTGCAGGGCCGGGAGGGGACCTCAGATGTACCATGAGCTCTCTGTGGTTGTCTGCTTTTGTGAGACATCACATGATGAGCTAGTGGCCTCAGGAAGGCGTGTGGGGCTCTCAGACAAACACTCCCCTCCAATGGAGGGAAGGAATTTGATTGGGGGTGTCTTGCTTGTTTTATTACTGTTTTGTTGGTAAGAAGGGTGCTGCCTTTATTGCAGTCCTCTGTATTTGCATTTCTAACATCTGTTTCCCTTTCTCTCTTTTGATTTGCTTTCTCACTGCTCAATGTCATCTTTTCCTGACTCCTCCCTCTTTCTCCCTATTTCTGTTTGTTTGCCTCTGTTTTGCTCAGGTGGCTTCGGTGCTGCTCCAGTGTTTGGCAGCCCTCCTACTTTTGGGGGATCCCCTGGGTTTGGAGGGGTGCCAGCATTCGGTTCAGCCCCAGCTTTTACAAGCCCTCTGGGCTCGACGGGAGGCAAAGTGTTCGGAGAAGGTACTGCAGCAGCCAGCGCAGGAGGATTTGGGTAAGCTCCCTGGGGCGGGGCACAGGGAGGCCCCAAGCTCACACCACCCAGCCCAAGTCGCTGGGGCCAAGAACTCTTGCTCTGTAAAGAACATTCTTGCACTTTCAAACTGTGGACCAAGAGCTAAAGGTCCCTGTCTCGGAATAGGCAAACAAGTCACTGGAGGATTCCTGTTGCTCTCTAGGTTAGGACTCATTGCAAACTAGGCCCTGTCAACATCAGCAACATTGTCAGTATGATGTGTAGAGTGCTGGTCATAAGATCCCCTGTTCTGGAAAGGCTAGAACAAAGATGCCTGCTTTGTATTACAGCCAAGGAAGTCCTGAAGGATTCGTTTTCACTAGATTCTTCCTCTTGGAATTGTTCTACGTGGGGCTCATTGTCCTTCAGCAAACAGCTCCACCCCTAAACCCCCAACATGGGTTTTCAGTCCCACATCCAGGGCCAGCTCACACACTAGGCAACAACTAGACACCCTCTGCATGGGAGGGAGAGACCCTGGCCTCTTGGCTTTCACAGCTGCCCTCCTGCCCTGCACATCACCAAAAAAAGCCAGGAGCTCCAGAATTTCAGTCTGATTGCCAAAACCAAAGGGAAAAAAAAAAGCTTTTGCCACACTCAAATGTTTGTGGTGATGGCTACAAAATGCATCATGTGAAAATGCTGATGACTGCCTCTCACTCACAGTATTGGGCTTGGGACCTGGAGAGCAAAAGATTTGGGGTAAGGGAGGATGATTTTGTTTGGGGGGATTGTAGAGGTACTGGTGTATCTTTATCTTGAAAGTTAAAGTATGGTTTTTGTTTTGCTTTGTTTTTCTTGGTAGTACTAGACTTTGAATTCAGGGCCTCACACTTGTTAGTAGGCACTCTACCAGTTGAGTAACACCACCAGCCTTTTTTTTTTTTTTTTGCTTTAGTTATTTTTTGGTTAGAGTCTTACAGTTTTTGTCCAGGGCCACATTGGACCATAATCTTCCTACATATGCCTCCCTCCTGTGTAGCTGGGATCACAGGCAGCGCCTCCACACTCAGCTCATTTGTTCAAATGGGATCTTACTGACCTTTCACCCAGGCTGTCCTTGAACTGCAGTCCTCCCCATCTTCACCTCCCAAGTAGCTGGGATTACAGGCATGTACCACTGCACCTGGTTTAAACTGTGTTCTATTTAAAAACGCTCCTTTTCACAAAGTTGCTGGACCACTCAAGGAAATAAAGCAAATGGATGGGTCATTTCTTGGATGTCTTGTGTAGAATAATGAATCTTTGACCTTATCTAACTCCTGACTCTTAAGAATTAGAGTTAAGGAGAGCTTTGAGAGGAGAGTTAAGGATTCTTTAACCCAGTACTCCTGCAGGTCTGGTGGAACTCCCATCTGCATTCCCCCACATTGCTGGCAAGAGGTTCTGGTTGACTGCGAGTCCTGAGGTTTCATTTATTTATTTGAAACCAGCTGTTTTCTTTACTAATAGAAAAGTGTCCCATTCCCATATAAATCCTGATTGGCTGGCCAGTTGAATTTTCTAGAACAGGGCTATCTAGTACCAACTCGGGTATTAAATCACTGGAAAAGCCCATTACCTTTGTTCGGATCCCTGGCTGTGTCCTGTCTCTAGCTTTGACAGAAGTAGGAGGAAAGTGGTGCCACTCTGGAAGAGCCCTCTGCACCCTCAGCCTGACTGAAAGGAGCTGGGGCTGTCTCAGACAACCTTTACTTTGGTGTAGGCTTTTACCCCAGGTCCTGTCTCTTCTCCCCAAAAATACTGACTTACATCCATACCTAGTCTCCTCCAGACCCCAGAGTCTCTCCCTATCACAGCCAAATGCCTCTGAAAATGATTTAGAGTATGCCAAGTGAGGCTGCCCAGGGAATTGTCCACAGATGAGGAAGCAGGAGAGAGAGAAGGATGGCTGGTTTTACATTGTTTTGTATAGTACTTATTGATTTCAGGAACAACTGCAAAATTTGAAGTGAAATGATTTGGAAACTGCCTCCCCCCACCCAAAAAAAAAAAAGAAGAAGAAAACTAGAATAGCAATCTCTGTATGCAAAAGACCTTTACCCCATAATTAAAGGTAAATAGAATCACCAGATGTGGAGGTACTGTCCTAGCCCAGGGGAAGCTGTGACAGGAGGACCACTTGAGCCCAATAGTTTAAGGGACAAAACCCTGCCTCTTTAAAAAATTAATTAATTAATTAAAAATAACGAGTCAAGATCCAGAGAGGAACTAAAAACAAAGAGATGGGAAAGGGAGGATGGTCAATAAATGGGAAATGCTAGCATGAGCGACTAAAACTGAAGGGCTGTTAGAGGTACAGAGAGCAAGAAGCAAGGTCCTGCTTTGTTGCCAGATGACCTGGAGTTTCCAGACAATACACAACAATTCAAACCCTGGCCAAGTTGGATTTCATATTGCGCGCCCTTATTCTCCTTCCCGAGGCTTGAGATAGTTTTTCTGAAGGCTGTAGCCATTCTTTCTGAGAGGCTGTTGGTTTAGACCTGTCACCTCAAATTGTGTGTGTGCGTCGTGGACTGAGGCTTGTGGGCAGCAGCGGGACCAAGGCAGCACTAATCATGGTCATTTCTCACTGGAACTCAGGTTTGGGAGCAGCAGCAACACCACGTCCTTTGGCACCCTCGCCAGTCAGAATGCTCCTACTTTTGGATCACTGTCCCAACAGACCTCAGGTTTTGGGACCCAGAGTGGCGGATTCTCTGGGTTTGGATCAGGCACAGGAGGTAGGCAGCTACATTCTTCTCTCAGTCAGCACAGTGGGCTCTCCTGCCTCTTCCTCAGATAAATCATGGCTGCTCCGCAAAGAAATGAGTGTTTTTACCCAACTGTTCATGTGAGTATTTAAAAGCTGAGAGCGGCTGAAAAATTAATTGTTCTCATTAGATTTTAATTAGACTTACAACTTTGTGCCTTTTCTGACCAAATAAAGAAATTGCTGACTTCATTTTCTCTCAGGATTTGAGAACTTGAAATAATAATAATCTTACTAAGTCTTGAATTAAAAAGGCAAAGCAGGCTCCAACAGCAAAATTTGTATAGCATTCTGCTTCTTCAGTATTAGGGTATGTATGTTCTGTTGTGTTCTGGCAGCCAGCTGAGGAGGTACACGACTTAGCACCATAGTGACTTTACAAAGGGAGAAACAGAAGCTCCTACGGGCCAAGTGCTGCTCAAAGTCATACACAGCAGCAGAGCCAAGCCTAGAACCCAAGTGCCTTGTTTCTCTGGCCCTCAAAAAGGAGAGCAAGCAGGTGGATGTATAAAAAAGAGAGAGAGAAGGAAAAAAAAACAGTGCTCCGTGTTGTTTCCTGATGAATTGTTTTCCTAGTGAATGGACCTGTGTGGTTCAGGGCAGCCTCGTGAGAACGGCCATGTCAGAGACCCTCTGCCTACAGCAAGGGTGGGGGAGGCAGGGAAAACCTACAGTACTAAAACAATAACTTGGAAGATGACTGAGTACCCATTGATGGACTTGAGTGTCATGAGAGGATCAGTTCAGAATGGAGAGGCTTCTGTGTACCTTCCACTCACCTGGTAGACAGTGATGGGGTCTAGAAGGGCCTTCTTTAGGGACTAAGCAGAGGAGGGAACCTAGCCCGGAGGCCATCAGGGCTCTTGTACATAGGCTTTAACCTCACCCTTTCCATTTGTTTTTCAGGATTCAACTTTGGGTCATCTAACTCGTAAGTAGTTGTCTCCTGTTTTAAATCTGACTGTAATTAAAGTATTAAGTAAGAATGGAAGGGGCTGGGTGTGTGAATGCTGTCAAAATACTACTCATTTCATGTAAGTTTTCCTGTTTGAAAAGCTTGTGCAGGAAGCATGAGGCTCAGCAGTAAGCACTGGGTTTGGGGCCTCCCAAGTGTGCAGGAGATGGCAGGAAGTGCTGGCTCCACCTTCTCAAGGTTGGGGAAGAGAGAGGAATGTGCCTTTCAACAGGCAGGGATTGGAAATGCTTCCCTAGTTCCCCTGGTAGTGTCTCCAAAGCTTCAAGCTGCCCACCAGGCCACGCCCACTCTGCGCTTTTGTGGAGAATTCTGCAGTGGTAGATGTGAGTGCCCCAACCTGTGACAGGAGCTGATGGGCTCCCTCCTGCGCTTCCTTGCAGGTCTGTCCAGGGCTTTGGTGGATGGAGAAGCTGAGTGGGTATCAGCGTTCCTTTCAGTTCTGCAACCGTCTGCGCACAGCTCCTCTTTCCTGGGAATGCAGGAGCAGGCTGTCTGATGGATTTTCTCGCTGAAATACAGACCCAGAAAGAACCAACAGAGACCAAAACTCAAGAGATACCTGATTGCTTGTTTGGTTTTGTTTTCTATTTCATGTTGGGTTTCTTCCTGCTATTAAACTGTTTGGGCTGTTTCTGTACAGAATGTATGTGGGTTTATTTAGGTCACAGCAAACAGAGAAGTTTCCCTGTTTCTGTGGTTCTGGTGTTTCTAGCATAGAGTAGAGAAACCAAGGGAGAGGGATCTGCACTAAGCTTGCTCAGACTAGCACCATCTACCCAGGAAGATGCAGGTGGGGGCAGGCGGCCACATCTTGGTATCTCTTACTTGAGTCCTTTTTGCTGCTCTGTGTTTGGCCCGTCAGAGGAGCTCTGTGGTTGGTGGAGGCACAGGGACTCACTCCTACAGGATCAGTTCGATTCCAGAAGCAGTAGTGATACCTTTAAATATTGTTACCACCAGCTGTGAGGCAAGCATGATAAGCAGACCTGTATGACAGGCTGAGTGCTGACCACTGTATGCTGCCCTCTGAACAGCCTCCCTAACTCACCTCAAAGGCTCCTGGTTGCTGATTTCTTCCATCCTGAGAGACAGCCTTCATATCCAGTCTATGACAGGGACTTGGTGACCACACTTCGCCCACTGTCTGTTACCCGCAGTGCAGATAGCCCTGGGTGGACCCAAAAGTTGGAAAGACACTAATTTGCCAGATACCACCAGCAGGATGGTGCAGGGCTTGACAACGGTGTTTGCCAGTGGCCTGGAGCTCGTGATTTCAGTCTTATTGACGCGCTTGTTTCTCTGTGATGTAGAATCTTTCAGGCCTGGGCATGTTTTGTTTCTTAGCCCTGTGAAATCCCAGACAGTTGCTAACAAGGACTGCCTCACATCCAAAGTAAATGTAAGGACTTGTCTTCTGTCAGGCCTAGGATATGACAGTGCTTTGGCTTGGATCATTAGCGGGGGAGGGACCATAGTTTATAGAGTTGTACATATTGAAAAGTTATAAAGTTTGACTTGTAGTTTTGTATGTCATGCTACAGCCAGTGTGACTTCTTGGGTCTGTTGGCTTATTTGGGGACAGTGGACTGTAGTGACATTTCTGGCGTCCCCTGGGGAATTTTTGATAAAGTGCAGATTGACATCCTCGATCTTGGAGACTGGTTCAGCAGGCCTGAAATTGGGACTGAACACTCAACTGGTGTTGTGTTGAATGGTTTCTTATATTGATAAAGAGTCTCAGTATTACACACTGAATCCCAGGACCCCTTCCTGAACAGCCATCAGCACAGCCCAGACCCAGGATTAGAGCCACAGTGTCCATGGAGACTGTTGCCCTGCTCTTTGTGGTTTGTGATAAAAGAGGGAGATTCATCTTCATGTTCCGTTAAGAGCTCTACCTTACTTGGACTTGGACTTCACAATCTCAGGGTGTCCTTTTTGGTCCTTTTGGAATTGGAGAACCTGTCACCCTTGCTCACATGAGGCCCCTCAGCCATGAAGCAGGGGGTTAGTCCCCAGAACTCAAAACCAGGCTCAGGGCTTGCACTTCTGTTAATTTTGTACACAGCGATCTTGAGACAAAGGGACTAGAAGGTTTTTTTGGTTTTGTTTGTTTTTTTTTTTTGAGATAGGATCTCACCATGTAGCCCAGGCTATCCTTAAACTGTCAGCCTCCCAGGTGCTGGAATTAAAAAACTACCATACCTGGCTTAGGACTCCAGTTTTGATGGGGGCATCTCACAACAGAGGGCCTAGTTTTAAGGGGAGCTGTGTTGCTATAGGTGACAAGAGTGTGATTCTACCGTGGGCATGTCCTTCTCTTGACTGCACCCACCAGAGCCAACTTCTCCTACTTTTCTGTTTCCCCCAGAGTCTCCTTTTTATAAATAGAAGCTGGTTCAGCCTAAACCCTTGACCTCAGATTCTCTGCATTAATCCTCCGAGGTGGCATGTGACATCTCTCCATAAGGCTGTATCAGCTGTACCCAACGGATAACACCCCACTCACTGTCATGCAGAGCACCAAAGGAATGTGCTACTGGCGTCCGAGCCCCTCCAGGTTCCTTTCTGGGGGTCGATGACAGTGGTAGGTGGTAGAAAGGTCATCTCAGCTTAGCATCCTGCATTCCCTGAAGCCCAGGCTGCCAGGATGTCAGGCTAGGAATGCACGGTGGCTCCACCTGCCCAGAGAGAAGCTAGTGGGGCTAGAGTCTCCTGAATTGGGGAAGGCAGAGCGCCTTGGGGGGGGGGGCTGTCCTGGAGCAGGGTGCTGTGGGGCAGGCAGCCGGATAGTTGGCTTAGTTTATACTTGTGGTGCATGTAACTTGGGAGAGGCCAGAAGGAAAGGGGGGGCAGGCTGATCTCATGAGCTAGGTCATGTTTTGCTTGGCTTTTCCAGATGTGAAATTTGAAATGGGCACTTCAGAAGGTAACAGTGGTAGAGGCCATAGTTGGTTTCTCAGACAGGCATACACCCATAAACTTGGCTGCTCACCTGAATAGAAGTGTAAGCTTCCTGTACTCGTGTCAGTGTAGCTGAGCTGGTGGTCCCTAGGTGTTGTCCTACCCATCCCTAGTGCTTGACTTCAGCTTTGCTTCCTTTCTGGCAACCTCCAGAGAAGTTTCTAGGTCAGGTCTCCACCGTTACAGAAAGGCGTGGACCTCTCAGGCCAACCCAGGTCTGAGTCTCACTAGCTTCACCCCGAACTTGGTGTTTTGAGGGGAAGAGGTCCACTAGGCTGCCTGCCTGCAAGGTGGAAGTTTGCAGTGAGTGAGGTGGTACATGGAGGGCACTGGCACAGAGTCAGTGTTTATGCACAGTTACAGTGCTAATGGCTGTTAACCACTTGCAGCATCTGGCCTGAAATCCAGTTAAACGGTCCCAGATAGACTCCCATGTTGACCTTATCTGCCACCTGAATGAGGGCCTCCCTTACTGTCTTGCAGCACTAGCACAGTACTGTTCAGATTCTAATTTGACCTTCTGCTGCAGCAGGGCTGCTGTGGGCCCTTGAGTCTGCTTATAACAAGCAGGCGATGCCAGTACAGGTGTGGCTTGTTGACCACACTTTGAAGAATCCTTTAATAGCAATAACCATAAATACTCTCAACACGGGGAATGTCTGAAAGGCATAGCTTAACCACCATGCTCATGGTTATTGTGACATTAGTGTAGTGTAAGGGATCGTCCTGGAATTGTTAATAAGAGACAGAAGTTTAAATTTAAGCTATGACAGCAACGAAGGCCATATCACCTTGCCTCTGCAGCCCCCTGTGAAGCCCTCCTAACTAGCAGACAGGAGGAAACACCTGCCTTACCTCATACTGTCTGACACAGCCACTCCCACCTGCCCTCTGGCCTGCCACTCAGTAGAAGATTATAGCTCCGAACCTAAAGCAGGAGGAGGATCCCCGGCACCCTCTGAAGTCGCCTCTAGTTTCTTTTTATTCCCTCATTTTATCTACTTACTGATTCCCATTTTTAATTTCTAACAGAATTGCTAACCACTACTTCTAAACACTTGCTTTTTAGCAGTCAAAACTGGCCCAGATTCCAGGCTCCTTTCTCTGAGGCTTGTGGAACACCCCGTAAAAAGCAGGCGACAGGCATATTGTCCCCTCATTTCCCACACTGTGCCATCTCTTCATCACTCCCTCAGTGTTTCGTAAGGGAAGTCAGGGTTTTGCCAGATGTGTTTGGGAAAAGAATGGCTGGAACACCACTTTACTGATCTTTTTAGAAAAGGACCTTTGAGCTTTCAGTGTGCATGCATTGTAATGTACATGCTGTGTAAGTTAGTATGCTACCCCCATTCCTGAGGATTTTTACCCTGAGCCTTTTTGCTTGGAGTCAGGTTCCTGGAATGCATCCTGGGAGATACTTTGTAGTTCACACTGGTGGATAGAAGTACAGTGTGCTGCTGCAAGCTGTGTTTCTAACACATCCCTCTTTTTTATTTGATTAAAATAGAAGTTACACTTTGAATGCTTACCACATGCCAGGTAATGGCTACCCTAAGCACTTGACCAACATTGTCATGCTTAACCCTGAGCTAGCTGTTAGGACTCACGTGAGTCTTCTGTATGAGAAAGTGAGGCTGGGAGAAGAAACAGGTTGCCCAAGTGACAGAAGAGAACTGGTGGTCGAGAGAGTGCTAGAATGAGGCTGCCCCCTTTAGGCCTGGGCTGCCTACCATGGAATCTCTTGATTCTTCTTCCCCAAGATACCCATTGGTTTTTTTTGTTTGTTTGTTTAAAAAAAAAAAAAAAAAAAAAACCTGCCAAGCTCCCAACACCGTCTGGCCAATAAGCTCACCTGGGCCTGACTCTGACCAGTGCAGCTCCTCACCCCCTTCTACTGCCTGTAGCCTTGCTTTTGTTGCTGAGTGTCGTTCCCAAACTGCAGCCCCAGGAGGGAGCTTCAGGGCAGAGCCCAAGCCTGTGCAGCTTACGCTGGCTCCACGCCCTTCAGCTGTCTGGTCTGCCCTTCCTTTGCGGTCTCCTCTGGGGTCTGGCTTTGAGGCTTTCCAGAGTCCCACAGAGGTCAGGCCACAGACCCACTGAGGCGACAGTTGCTACATTGCCCAGCCCCTCTCCACTTATAAATAGAAGCATCCATACCGCAGCATTGGCCGGAGATGCTCTGCATTGTTTTCAAGGCTAGATTGCCAGCTGCAGAGAAAGGCCAGACAGGAGCAGGCGGAGGGCCCGGAAGGCAGTGCAGCGTGTGGCAGGAACTGAGCTCCCTCTCTCTCTGCCCGGCTCCTGCTTGACCCCACCTTGCTGACCCAGCTGGTCTGGGCCTCTGAGGATGTAGATTTGTGTCCCAACTGCTGTAGATGTTGGCTTTCCATACAGATGGCTAGAAAGGAACCAGATGGCCACATCCCTCAGCCCAGGCCCTGCTTCCCAGTCCCTCTCTCTCTCCTCACCATCCCCTCCACCTTTGATCTCAGTGCCTCTCTGTGCTTCCTAGTCTCCTCCCATCCCGCATCAGTTTCACCCTCAGACTCTGCCCATTGTTCTCTGCCTCCCCCATTACCCCCAGGGCTCAGGGGAGTAGTCTGGGCTCCCCCAAATGCACTCAGCTGTTGAGAGGCACACAGCACAGTTATAATGTTTTGTGTCCTTGGTTATTTGGCTGGTCCATCTGTCAGCACCCCAGGTGGCCAGCTCCCCAAGAGCAGGACCATACCGGCCTTCTCTGTCCTCCAACTCCTCGCAGCACCTGGGCAGAGCAAGAGTCAGTCATGTAAATACATGACTCCCAGACTGACTTCTCAGAAAGAAGCCAGAACTGGCCAGACCCCAGCAGATGATTAGGTGATCTCACATACAGTCCAGGGCACAGCCAGCCACTGCCCCAGTGCTCTTCCAGCTCCCATCATCAGGAAGGCACAGGCTATACGCAGCAGGCCTGGGCACAAGACTTTTTGAGGTTCACTAGCTGGAACACATTTCATCTGCCTTGGCCTCTCAGGGCAGAGCCTAGCCCAGGGCTGACAGTCACTGAGGTCCTCCTTACGGGAAGAGACTCAGGCCGAACATATGGCCCCTGTGCTCCTGCCTCGTACTCACACCCACCAAGTCTTCACCTGATCCCATGTTGGCCAGTAGCTCCTTCCCGAATGGGAAAGGAGGAATGCCTCCCTTCCTGTCCTCTCAGCCCATCCTGCCCAGGAGGGTGCAGGACAATCCCATGGGAAAGGATCCCCTGTGGACCCTTGTCCAGCCTGCGAGAGAGGAACATTACAGGCTCATCACTTGCTAGAATCCTTTCCTCGTGTTCATCACACCTCCCACTCCAGTTAGTCCAGGGCTGCGGGGAGGGGCAGAGCAGGAAGGGCTGGCATGCAGTGTTGAGTCATTGGCTGCAGCTGACAGAAGGGGCTGTGCGCTGATGGAGCAGTTTCATGTCACCAGCCAGCATTTCCAAGAGCAGCTAGAAGTCTCAAATCTTGGGCTGTTTGCTTTTCATTGCTTCCATTCTCTTTGTGTTAGGGAACACAGATTTGCTGTGATGTAGGGAAATGAAACTGCTATAATTATGTTGCAAAGTTCTCCATGGGGACAGTTTGAAACCAGCCTGAGTTTTCCCGCCCTCCCTCCAGCCCAGGGCCACCAACCTGGCTGGCAGGAACCTGGCTCCTCCACTTATCAAGTAGCAGCAGGTGAACCTCGGAGCTAAGGCAAAGCCTGGGCTCCTCCCACGGCCTCACCCTGGGGCTTTGGTCCTTCCAAACTGCCAACTGCTGGCTTTGGTCCTTAGGGTTCTTTTGTCATTTTGAGCAGCTCTGAAAATAGAATAAACCTCCCACGATATTCAAGCCAAGTGGTGTCAGACTCTGCTGTGTGGTTGTCAGCTTCCCAGATGGCAGGACCAGCGATCATCATCCATAAGCATTTGTCAGTGTGCCACGCTTCCTGTGTGTGGCCCTCTGCCAGTCCATCATGAGTGCAGCACACACGGTGAGGGGGCAGGGTCTGGATGCTCCAGCTGCACACTGTCCAGTCCCTGCTCACTGAGCGTGTGCTGCCTAGCAGTTCGCAGAGCTGGCCCACAGGGAACCAAAGAAATCCAGAATTGTATAGCACAAGATGGCCCTATTCAACGCCTTCCTTAAATACAACAAGGGACTCAAAGAGTCCTGAAGAGAGAAAGAAAGTGTCGCAATCCAGTGAGCAGTGGGTCAGCTAAAATGATGGGTGGTCCTAGCCATGTGACTTTGGCCAAAGTCACTTAAGCTCTCTGTATAGAAAGGGGATGGTGATACCTTCATCTGATGTGCTGAGGATCAAGTGAGCTCTGTAGATAAGCCAGCATCATTAGTAGCGTTTAGTGGCAGCATGAGAGTGGAATGTGGAGGCCCATTCCCAGCTCGTTCTTGTGACTGCACGGGTGACTCGTGGACTCATTAGTGGGTGTCTTAGTGGAGGAACTACATGAGTGCTGCCAGCGATCCAAGTCACTTGGTCTGATGGGTGTCCATGCTCCAGAGCAGACACCAAGGCCACCCAGAGGCAGAATCATTGCAACTTACAAAGCTCTTCCTCCTCAGACGTGATTGGTGGGCCTGCTGGGACAATAAATGCTGAATGAGAAAAATACCCACAATCAGATTTGGCTGGGAAAGTGAGTTATCACTTGTCAGCAATCAGTGTTGAAATGAGGCCTCTCAGAATGCATGGGGCCTGAAATTGGAACTGCTGGTGGGAAGGAACTAAAA